ACGTAGTGCTTTTTTTTTTTTTTTAAGATTTATTACATATACAGTATTCTGCCAGAAGAGGGCACCAGATTGAATTGTAGATGGTTGTGAGCCACCATGTGGTTGCTGGGACCTCTGGAAGAACAGTCAGTGCTCTTAACCTCGGAGCTACCTCTCCAGCCCCTACATAGGGCTTCTTAGGGATGGAGTTTTTCTAATGAGATGTCCATGGTGGGGATTGGTCAGATTTCAGTCCTTGAACTCTGATTGGCTAGATCTCATGCTCAGGGTTTGGTTGGTTTTGTACTCAGGTTCAGGGTCAGATTTGGCTCTGGTTTCAGGGCCAAAGTGTGTTTCTTTGGCACTAGTTTTGGGGTCAGGGTGCATTTCTTTGGCTCTGTTCAGGGTGCCTTTCTTAGGCTGGCCCTTTTCCCCTACACTACCTCCATGTCCCAAGCACCAGGATTACAGACAGGTGTGGTGTGACACTATTCCTGGGGGGGACGATATACAAATGTCTACATACCATAGACAGGGAACCAACAACAGTCCCAAGTGTGGATACCAAAAGAGTCCAACTTAGTAAACAATGAGTTTTATTGGGGTTACTTCTAGGAACGTGGGTGAAGGGTTACTACAGGCGCAGAAATGACTCAAAGGTAGCTGCATCACTAAAACCCCACCCAGTACGATCGAGGACTTACAGAAGCTGAAACCTGGGCAGTACACAGCCTGCATGCAGCTCAACGGGCTAGGAAATCTCTATTCAAGGCAGCTGGAAAAGCAAGAATAACAAATTTTACACAGTGCTACGGTCACTAGATGGACAACACAGGGTCTCAGGGTATCTCTTAGCAGTCCTACTGCTTACATATACATGGGGGGGTGGACGGACAACTGCTGCTTCTGGTCAGTTTCAGGGACTTCATGAAGTGTTGAAAGATTCCCTGGAGGACTTTTTTTTTTAAACCTCCCTTTAGGATATCCTTAGTCAGTTGGCTGTGAGGGTGAAAGCCTTTGACTCCAGCACTTGGAGGTAGAGGCAGGGGAAATCTATTGAGTTCAAGGCCAGACTGGTCTACAGAGTGAGTTCCAGGACAGCCAGGGCTACACAGAGAAACCCTGTCTCAGAAAACGACAACAAAGAAATATGTTGTCTTCTTTCATGTTTTTTTTTTTAAGATTTATTTATTTACTACATATACAGTGTTCTGCCAGAAGAGGGCACCAGACTGAATTGTAGATGGTTGTGAGCAACCATGTGGTTGCTGGGAATTGAACTCAGGACCTCTGGAAGAGCAGTAAGAGCTCTTAACCTCTGAGCCATCTCTCCAGCCCCTGTGTATGAGTTTTTGCCTGCAGGTATGTATGTGAACCACATGTGTACCTGGTGTCCTCATAGGTTAGAAGAGGGTGTTAAACCTCTTGGAACTAGAGTTTTAGATGGTTTGAGCTACTATGTGGCTGTTAGGAACCGAACCTGGGTCCTCTGCAAAAGCAAGAGGTGCTCTTAACTGTGGAGCCACCTCTCCAGTCCTGGGACATCCTTAGGCACAATGAGCTCTGGAAGATTTTGTTGTTTTTGTTTGGTTTTTGTGATGGGTCTCCCTATGTGGCACTATGTAGCTCTGGCTGTCCTGAAACTCAGAGATTCACCTGCCTCTGCCTCCCAAGTGCTGGGATGGAACGTTTTACCTGGGAGGAAGTTCTTTTTTTGTTGTGTTTTTGTTTTTCAAGACAGGGTTTCTCTGTATTGTTTTGGAGGCTGTCCTGGAACTCGCCTGCCTCTGTCTCCCCAATGCTGGGATTAAAGCGTGCACCACCAACACACAGCTTTGGAAGTTCTTATAAAACAGCATGTGTAACAGTATGTCTGGTGCCAGGCAGTGGTGGCGCACGCCTTTAATCCCAGCACTCAGGAGGCAGAGACAGGTGGATCTCTGTGAGTTTGAAGGCAGCCTGGTCTACAGATTGAGTTCCAGTATAGGCTCCAAAGCTACAGAGAAACCTTGTTTCAAAATCAACAACAAAAAGGTTATTTATTATGTGTTTTTTGCCTGCATGTATGTCTGTGTGACAGTGTTGGAACCTCTGGAACAGACAGTTGTGACCTGCCATTTGGATGCTGGGAGTTGAACCCAGATCCTCTGGAAGAACAGTCAGTGCTCTTAATCACTGAACCATTCCCTAACCCAGCTTCAAAGTATTTTTAGAAAACAAGAATCTGGGATAGTGAAACGGCTCAGTGGGTAAAGCATGCAAACCTGATGGGCTGAGTTTGATCCCTGGAACCTAAGTAAAGGTGGGAGACCAACCCCACCTTTGTTGTCCTCTGACATCTGCATGCACGCTGGGCTCATTTGCCTATACACATCATATATACATAATAAATATATATATAACAAATAAGCGAAAATTTAAGGCAACATATGCATGCTTTTAATCTCAGCACTCGAGTGTTAGACACAGGCAGATTTCTGAATTCAAGGCCAGCCTGGACTACATAGCGAATTCTAGAAGCAAGTAAACTCACTTCCTTTTTTTTTTTTTTTTTGGTTTTTACGAGACAGGGTTTCTCTGTATTGTTTTGGAGGCTGTCGGTCCAGCCCGGCCTTGAACTCACAGAAATCTGCCTGCCTCTGCCTCCCAAGTGCTGGGATTAAAGGCATGCACCACCATCGCCCGGCATAAACTCACTTCTGAGTGCAGGTACAGAAAATATTCTCAGGCATGCAAGCATCAGAAAGTTTACAATCCTGTGTGAAAAGTCTATGAGGGACAACACTCCACAGACCGGGAACTAGTGCGAAAGGACTGACAAGCCCGAGCAACAGTGGTAGCTGAGAGCAACCCTAACGTCATCAGATGGACTTGTTTGAAATGGATGCCTGAAGCCGGATGGTGGTGGTGGTGCTCTGGGGAGGCAGAGGCAGGTGGATCTACAAAGTGAGTTCCAGGACAGCCAGGGATACACAGAGAAACACTGTCTCACACCCCCCCCAAAAGAGAGAAAGAAATGGATGCTTGAAACATACAATTAAATATGCTATTTGCTGGCTTTTAGTTTTTAGAATGAGAGCCTTCGTTGTATTAACGGAACAGAAAGCACTATAAACACCAACAACATGAAATCACAGGGGAGGCAAAGGTAGTGGAGGAGGAGGGGGAAATAGGCACACTGGCTTCCTCATTTTCTCTGAGGGTAATCAATAGGGACCATCCACAGGCGATAAATCAGCAAACAGAGGCTTAAATAGTACCTTTAAAGCCGTGCAGGGAGCGCAAGACGAATTAAAAATAGTAATATATCTTACAGAATCAGGAGGTAGAAAGAAGGTAGAGGCAAGGGGTCAAGTAAATTTGCTAAACCTGTCACATTTATAGCCAAGGAGTCAACAGACATTAATCTGCTAAAGACATAATAAGCCTACCATCAGAAGAGCTGGGCACAAAGAGGAGGCTCACCTTCAGTCTGGACCCTTCGAGAGCTGGTGTAGCAGCTTAGAGAATTCTTGCCTAGCAGGTGCACAACACGCGCACACACAGGCACACACATGCAAGGACACACACTAAACTGTGCATAGTTTGTTTCTCTGGCTGGGCATTTGGAGAAGGTAAGAACTGGAGCTTCAACATGTTATATACCTACACTATGCAGACAGGCCTTTAACTCAAATCCTCCTGCCTCGGCCTCCTGAGTAGCTGAGATTACAAGTCCGTACCAGCAGGCCTAGGGGTTTTCTGGCTACTAATGACAGCTGTATTTGTGCCTCTTTTCCATTTGACTTCATCTCCTGCTACTCTCTGGCCCTTGCTCAGGGTGTTGAAGATACAGCAGTTTCAACACTCTTCTACCCCTTTACTCCAGTGTTCCAACTCTGTTTGGATATGTGTGCGAGTACTCTGCCTGCTTGTACTGCTGCATACCTGTTACCCTCAAAAGTCAAAAGCGGGCACATAGCAGCATGGATTCACCGAGCCCTGCAGCCAGGGTCTGACCCAGGAGACTTGCAGAGAAGAGACTGTGAGTGAGAAGAGACATGCCTAAGTCACACACATGAGAGAGTTGTCACAGACTAGCTGGGGTGTGCCCTGAGGGTGGTATCTGGCCCTGGGGAATGCCCGGAGAAGGTGACATCTGAATTGGGCGGTTTTAGAGGGTGAGCAGAGGTTAGTTATAAGAGGTAGGAAGAGTTACTAGGAGGGAATGACAGCAAGCGCACTGTGACAAGGTTGGTGAGATGGGGACTGGACAGGGGGTGGGTGGAGACAGATCATTGGGATCAAAGGGATGCAGATGACATGCCTTGCATTGTCCTGGGTCAGCAGGATGGGAATCCCCAGCACATTCCAGGATCAGCAGCAGTCAGTGGCCTCCTGGGGACTGTAACCTAGGCCTGAATTTGGTCTCTCCTTAGTATTCCACACATCAAGTCTAGTGCCTAACCTATTTGTATTTGTTCAGAGAAGGGTAGCCATCGTGCCATGATGTCTGATGGGGTGAAACTTGAATAATGGCTTGCTAAATCAAAGACTGATCCATGAAACACTGTCAAGAGAAGAGTGCCGGGTGTCGGTGGCACATGCCTTTAATACCAGTATTCGGGAGGCAGAGGCAGGCGGATCTGTTTGTGTGTCCAGTACCCACATGGCAAGAATTACAATATGTCTCACCAATCAACTTCCTTGTGGTCATTTTCTAAGTCCACAGGTTATCCCATTCCTTAGAACATGGGAGAAGACGAAGGAGGTGGTGGGGGTGGAGCTTTAGACCCTTCCTTTGGCAGCCGACAGCCTCACAAGGGCAAGAAGAGATGAAGAGGCTGAGAGCACTGGGCGTTCTCTGCAGCTGCGGCTCAGGCCTACCTCGGTGGTTCTGCTCTCATGCAGGCAGCTAGGGCCTGTCACAAGCACCCAGGTTGGCCACAGTGTCCTCTCAGAATGGACTCTACAGAACCCACCAAGCCACCAAGTTAGACACCACACTCTAGACCAGAAGGAGATGAGGCAGAGGCCCAGTGTGTAAGAAATCTGATTATTCAAATTTATTACCATCAAGAAGTATGCAATGATGCTGTAGTTTTTCTTAACAAATAGAAAACAGACTGTGTACAACAGTGAACTCTACAGCACTAGCATCCACAAGGTAAAAATGAATGTTTCATCCAACACCACCAACCCTGGATTGTTGATCTTGACTTAGCCTAGCTAGATCCGGGGACATCTGCATCGAGTCCCTAGGCTAAAACAGCTATGCACCCTTCCCCGCCCCCACTTACCTATCTAGATAGTGCTGCCCAGAGGAAGAGGCCCTCTCCCTGCCCCTCAGCAAGCTGAGATAATAAGACTGAGTATAGTACCATGGATACAAGTCCAGTAGTCTTGCCACATTGGTTTATGAGGGCAACTTGGAGCGGAAAAGAGCGAGTCTTGGGGATCTGAAGACAGCTGCAAACCAGGAGAGAAGTCATCTGGCCCCTGCTGAGGACAGACATGTGCTACCAGGCCCACTGGCCTAGACCTGAAGAGCCAGCCACGCCCCCGCTTGGCCCTGAGGTGTGTGGGGCGTGGCACAAGCCCCTCACCTGTGCCATTCATTCACTGAGGTGGCCAGAACCCAGTCTACAAACACCTGCCACACTGCAATGCTGGGGATGATAGCGAGACTCTGTGGGCCCATGGCGAGCCCCAGGCACATTGAGTCGCCCTCCCACTTCGGGATCTGAAGTAGAGGCCAGGGGATGAATATTTCTTTAAAAAAAAAAACAAAACAGATTTTATTTTTGTGGGTTTTTAAAATTCTTGCTTTTTGAACCTTTGCAAACACGATGGTGATGAGGAACGCCTTGCCAGGATCCCCCGACATGTCTGTGGCTGTGGGCTATGAATGTTAAATGCACACTGGGGATGTGTTTCCTATCGCCTCCCCGCCCACCACTGTCTGTGGGGCCTAAAAAAAGGCTCTCAAGGAAAAACAAAACCTAAACCAGAACAACAGAAATAAACGTTTCCCTGCATTTGGCTGGAGTAGGATCTCTGAAAGGCTGGAGGACAACAGGCTTGGTGCTGCCTCCTGGGCCACAGCTGACTGGCTCAGGCAGGGCCCTAGCTCTGCACAAGGAAGGCATGTGCCGTCCTTCAGCGTAAGTTGTACAGGAAAGGATCCAACGTGAACTCAAAAACAAAAACAAAATAAGCCCCAACTCCCACAGCAGCCCAGTCTGCAGTGAAAGATTTGCAAAAGGAAAGTTGGAGGGAAGAGGCTAGGATCCCTCAGTCTACCCCGCCTAATGTATAAAAAGTGGAGGCTTTGCCCCCTCCCCACCCCATGAGAAGCATGAGAAACGCGGAGCTGAACAGAGAGCTTGAAGCAGGGCTCCACTTGGGCCCGATGGACAGGGGCCCAGAGCCAGGCTGCCAGTCCGCCTACTCGCCCAGGTGTTCTGGGCTCTCTGACTGGTGTGGCAATGTTCCCGAAATGCTGTGATCCCAGTGGGCTGTGCTCTGCTGGCAACAGCATCCGTGCAGGAGGGCTGGACGATGGTCGGTATGGCTCAGAGGAGCTGGGTCTCCCCCCGGAGCCCCTCAGGGGAGCAGCGGAGGAGAGGGGAGCAGTAGTTACGTTGCATAGTGGTCAAAGCTGCCGAGGTATTCCAGGGCCGCACGGTAGCACAGCTGGTATTGGTCCTGTGAGGGAGGCAAAGGGGGTTGTTGAGTGTGGACAGAGGGGAGGGCACTCATGCTGTAGCCGTGACCACAGAACTGGCCAGGAGCAGATGCTGGACTCAGAGCTGCCCGGGTACTCTCCAGATGGAAGGGAAAAAGCCTCAAAGGCCCATCTGCCCTTTTCCCTCTCCCAGGCCTGTATTCACCTCTGCTACTCCAACCGCATTTGTCTGTGCCCAGACTTATGCATCCTACACAGACTGGGGACAGAGTTACTGAATGAACACAGCTCTCTCTCCTCTCCCCTGCAAGTTAGGCAGGACAAGGAACACCATGTGGCTGTATCATGAACAAATAAATACATGTGGGCCAGCTGCATGTGCAGCTGGGGATTGGAGGGCTGTTGTAGGGAAACACGTGGGTCCCGCACTCTGGTCTGCATACCTCTGTCTGCACCATTGCAGGGCGCTGTGTTCGAAGGGTCTTCACGGTCTGGAACATGTCAACCACACCCTCGTACCGCATGCGCTCCAGGGCAATGCTCAGAGTGATGAACACTCCGGTGCGGCCCACACCAGCACTGTCAGAGAATGGCTGTGTCAGGAGTCGGGTTCACCCACATGCCGGGCTTCCCAGGACTTCCCAGGACCACCCTCCAGCCCTTGCCCTACACGGGGACCGCCCTACCTGCAATGCACTGTGATGGGCCCATCCTGCCCAAATTGCTCCTTAGTCTTGTGCACCTGCCCGATGAAGTCGATGAAGCCTTCACCCGTTTTGGGCACTCCTTGCTCTGGCCAGTCTGTAAACTGGAACTGTCGGATTGTCCTCGACTGCCCATCCTGGGAGAGACGGTCAGGGGCCAGAATTAAGGTTTAGACCTCTGGCAGCAGGTCCCCTGGGGCGGGCGGGGTGGTGGGGTGGGAGGGGGGAAGACCCAGACCCACATGTGCTCAGGCAGTGTGAGGTATATGCTTTTGTGCACATTCTTTGGCCAACACTCACCCGGGCATCTGTGACCTTGAACTCACGAAGGATGTACTGGGGCATGTTGTACTCAGCCATCGGATCAACAACAAAGTATTGATAACGAGCAGAGCGCTCTGCTGGCCAGTACTGGTGACACTTCTCCTGCGGACAGAACACCAGGCACCCCCACGGTTAGGTGGGAAGGTAGGGGAAGACAATGCCATGTTTCACAGGACTTTGGGACAGGATGCCTCCCTTGGGTGTTGGCAGGAGAGCCCAAGGCTATGTTGATGGGAAGCTGGGGTATGAGAGCAGAACGTCACAGAAGGAGCACACTTCCCAGGGGTGCCTGGTGTCCTCCCTGACAGCACAGGGGCCCTGGGGAAGGGGTGGGCTCACCCTGCCCATCTCCCGAAGCTTGGTCAGCATGACGATGATGGTGGAATTGTGCTCCCATAACATGCGCCAGAAGTCCTCGGTGCTCTCTGCCAGAGGCCCCTGCGTAGCTATGTAGGCCTTCTGCTGTCTGGGTGACAGAAGACTTGACATGCTGGAGGTGCTGCTGCTCCCATCTATCCCGAAACTGCCTAGATCCTTAGGACCCTGCTCACAGAGCAGCCCTCCTCTAGGAAGCCCTCACTTCTGTACCCAGCTCACTCTGATCTTCTGGGCTAGCTCCTACTCCCCCAACCAGGAGCAGACCAAGGTACCGAAAGGCACGGTGGGGCGGGGAGAAGCATTCCGACCTGTAGCCATCTAGAAAGCTGGCATTGATGTAGTCAGAGCCTTCCACACCACGGATGGGTTGCAGACACACTCGGGTCAGCTCATAGGGCATGATATTCACCAGGCGGTTTTTGAACTTGTTACAGGGCAGGTTGGCACTAATGAAGCGAGATGTGTGAGCCTTGGAGTTGGCCAATAACTGTGAAGAGGAAGAGGTTTGTCAGGCCCGGCTCCCTGCAAAGAGGCCTTCCCAGGACCCAGTCCAGGACCCTGGAGTCAAGCAGGCCCACTGGAGTCCCACCTTGAACTCAAGCTCCATGGCAGTCACACTCTCCCCGGGAGGCACTTGGCCTAGCTTCTGGATGTGGGCATAGAGGTTGCGAGCAGGCACCTCGGTGTGTCCGCACATGGCAGCCTCCAGCAGCGCCTCATGGATGAACACATACTGGTCCTCTGTCTGCACCATGTAGTTCCTCTGTGAGCGCATGCACGTCACGTGGCCATAGATGTCAACCGTCTTCTCGTGCTTCATCCGCTCCAGCATCGCATCGATGACGATAAAGCAGCCCGTGCGGCCCACACCAGCACTGGGGACAAGGGCACAGCTCGGGCCGTGGTCTCCAGTCCCACCCCTCCCCTTTGGCGGTTCTGTACTCTCTCACCTGCAGTGTACCACCATGGGCCCTGCGTCTAGTGGGTTGCAGGCCTTGACTCTTCTCAGGAAGGCCAGGATGGGAGTCGGGTACTCAGGAACCCCATGGTCTGGCCAAGCCATGAACTGGAACTGGCGCAGCTCACGCTTCTCACTGGAACCACTCTGGGGAACAGAGTCAGAGATGGGGAGGCTTGGGGTTTGCGTGCCACAGACCCACTACCCCCAGGTGATAATTCAGAAGCCACACCAGATATAGTCACGTAACACAGGCTGACAACCCTTCAGGCCCCCGGGCCCTGAGTAGCCTGCCCATCACACTCAGGCCGCTGTCCCTACAATCTAAGTGGTGGATGAGCGCTAGGGCATGCTGGGCCATACCTTATGGAGTGCGAAGGTGCGCATGGTGTATGTGGCCAACTCCACAGTGTCCACCAGGGTCACCTGAATGAGGCCATAGGTCTCAGTGCCTCGGGCGGGCCAATACTGATCACACTTCACCTGGAGGGGGGATGGGCAGGACAGGGAACAAGGTACAGGTGACAGTGTTATAAGGATGCCCAAAGGCTTGAACAGGCAGAAGCTGAGTGAGGCCCAGCTTGCCTGGCTACAGAGGCCCTGAACTCTCTCCCACCTTCTCTCTCCTCACCAAGCCACCATTCCTGCCCTCACTGGCGGAAGGAGGACCATAATTGAAAATTATTTATTCAACACCAGATAGCACCAGGCACATTTTCTGCCAAATTTACCCATAACGTTTATGCCCCATTTTCAAGCTCTGTAAATTTTATGTTCCAGTCAATGCTTTGCAGTACAAAGGCAGACATCAGCAGCTCCCTCCACTAATTAACTTAGACATGTGAATGCCCCAGGAACACTCTGACATCTGGGGAACATGTGAACATCCTGGGAACACGCCGGAAACTGGGGAATACATTGACATTCCAGAAAATGACAGCATTTGGTGAAACATATTAACATCCCGGAACCCATAAACACCTGGGGAACATGCTACATTGCACTGCAGTAGTTCCCCAGTATCTAGGGAATGAGACAATACTCCTGGAAAACCACAGCCCTTGGGGAATCCCTTGACAAACTTCACAGGAGGTGGTACCCAGCCTCACTGAGTCATTTCCCATCCCCCCTTCTCACCCGGGATTTCTCCTCTAGCCTGGTCATCATGACCACTGTGGCTGTTCGCTGTTCCCACACCATCCGCCAGAAGTCGCCCATGGTCTCGGGCAGTGGACCCTGTGTAGCGATGTAGGCATTCTGCTTCCGGTAGCCATCGATGTAGTTGGCATTGATGTAGTCACTCCCAGGAACACCTACAGATGGAAAGGGATTCATGGGAGCGTTATTCTGGGAGACCCAGGCCAGCCACTGTGCTTCAGAGCATTCTGGGGAGCCGAGCAAGAGGGGTAAGAGGGCAATCTGCCCTGGGCTCACCATCGATGGAGGTGAGGAGGACTCGAGAATGGTCATAGGCAATGACATTTGCATAGCGGTTCTTGGGTTTGTTCACTTCTGAGTTGGAATTCTCCCATGTGAACTGTTGTCCAGGGTCAATGGACTGTCAGAGATGGAAGAAACAGGTAGAGTGAGGGCCAAGTCAAAGAAGATCTCTGCAGGTGAGTACCCCCTCCAGTCCCCAGCCACAGAGCGGACACATCCCAAGTCCAGAAAGTGGCAAACTGAGGACTCAAGTCTACACCAAATCCCTTGTCAGGGACAGTGGTTAAGGATGGGGTGAGGTGTGGAACAGGCTCCTGAATCCAACTATTGAAATAAGCATTGATGATGAAAGCAACTGCAGCCTCTGGGACACACTGGAAACTGCCCAAGGTTCCAGACCCGCGTACCATGCTGCCCAGTTCTCTTCCACAACTCTGGCTTTTCCTAGTCTTGCTCTGCCCTCCCTGCAGGTAGGACCTAGGCTCCTCCTACGAAGCCTTCTTATCTATATTCTTTCCTGGTTCACCTTCATTGCTCAGGAAACACCTTTTTTTTTTTTTTTTAAACAGGGTCTCATGTACACCTGGGTAGTCTTAAATTTGCTATGCAGCTAGGATGACCCTGAATTTCTTGTCTTCCTGCTTCCGTGTTGTGAGTAGTGGAATTGTAGTATGTGTGCTGCCCCGTTTCATGGTACTGAGTGTCAAACCTAGGGCTTTGCAAATGTGAGACAATCACTCTGCCAAATTAGTTAGATCCATAGCCCATGCACAAGGCTTTTTTCTTCTCTCTCTCTCTCTCTCTCTCTCTCTCTCTCTCTCTCTCTCTCTCTCTCTCTCTCTCTCTCTCTCTCTCTCTCTCTCTCTCTCTCTCTCTCTCTCTCTCTCTCTCTCAATGCATATGTGTACATTCATGTGTTTGTACCATCTGTGTGGTGGACAGACTGGAGGACAACCTTAGTAGCAGCCTCCATCTTCTTTGAGCTAGGAACTCTCTATAGCTTAACAACTAGTCTGGGCTAGCCAGTGAGGACCATGGATGTTCTGTTTCTACTTCCCCACACTGGGATTACAAGCGTACATTTTACACATTCAGACCTGCCAGGTTTACATGGGTTCTAGGGATGGAATTCAGGACTTTGTAAGTGCTTCAGTGACTGAGCCACTCCCATCAGTACCCCCCCCACAGGATTGTTAAGCTTAGATGCCAGAGCTACTCAGCAGCCCCCCCCCCCCCGACATCTCTATGCTTAAGTCTCACTTCTGCCTCAGTCCTTTCAAAGGCCAATTCATCACTCTGCTGTGAGACTCCCTTTCGGTGGACAGCAGCGTCACCCACTTCCCCTGGAAGCCTAGCCAGCTTCTTGGGTGCACCTTGGAAATTCTCAAGGCTCCTCTCATAGCTAACCACATCCCCATACTCCCTCCCCCTGCTGCTGCCCTCAGCTAGGCATCTCGCTCTGCCTGGCACCTCCACACCTCCTCTCTTGACCTACTCCAACCCACTCTGTCCTTCAACAAGAACAGTCTTTCAAAAAATGCAGATCTGAGTATTGACTTCCTGCTTAAACACCTCCCGTGTTCTTTACTGGCTCAGGGCACAAATATGCTACATCCCTGTCGAGACTCAGGGTGTGCCCAGCATGTTCTAAGCAGCCATGTGCATTTCTGCACCTCTTTCTTTATTCAAGACAGGTTCGGTTATTATCTTTATTTTGCAGATGGACAGAATCAACACCCACAGCCCAAAGTCTCCTCTATTTTGGTCCCAGCCTCATTATTCTCCAAGGACATTGGCTCATCACATCTGTGAGACCTCATCCCTGGGACACACCCGCCGTCATGCTTGCTATATGTAATTTCAGTGCATATTATCAGCATTGTTTACCTGTCTGCCTGTGTTTCTCAGTGACTATGTCCCAAGGCCATTTGTCTCTATATCCCGGCACCCAGCACAGGGATTGGCACACAGGGAGATGCTAGCAACAGTATGGCAAGTGACTGAGAGACTGTGAAAGAGAAAGAGTTGCAGGAGAACCCACAATCGCTTTGGGTAGTCAGGAAAGGGTTCTAGGACAAAGGTCCTTTAAAGAAAGCCCAGACGAGAGGAATGGGCAGCAGGTGGCAAGGTGACTGCTGTGAGCAGGGGCCTGGGGAGCCAAGGTGGGCAGAGCCTTATTAGAAGGACGGGTAAGTGCGGGGCAGGACAAGGGTGAATACTGGGGAAAACAAGGAGGCTTCTTGGTCAGAAGCCAAGCTGAATGTGGGATGCCTGGCTTATGCCCGCCACTGCAGTAAGGCAGCAGCAGGGCAGTCGGTGGGCACTGACAGCGGAGACAGAGTTGCTGTGAGGAGACACGCTCATCCTTCCACCCGCCGAGCTCTATTTTCTTCTTTGGAAGCCTGGCCTACTGCCCTTGGGATCTACCTGGCCCATGGCCTTTAGAAGGGAATTCCAGTATCTGGGTATATGTCTCCCAAACATAACTCAGAGTGGACACCGGACTTAAGAGCAAACTCCTGGGTCCAGCTGAACCAACCCATCCATCCGCCTTCTTCTGAGGCCTATGCCAAGTGCTGGAGAAAGAATGGCAGATACAGCAGAAAGACGTCGCCACTGTGCTTCCCCAAGAAAGCAGGCATCTCCTTGCTGCTTCCTTCCTCATAAGGCCCCACGTGGATGGCCTGGGGACACTCAGTTACTCCTGTAGGGGGTTAGGGAGAAGCTCACTGACCCTGAAATCTGAGCTCCTAGCACAGCAGCCATGGCCAGAGCTTGGAGGGCTCCCCATCTATGAGCTGTCATCTCTGAGTGTGCACGCAATCGCAGGTGCCTTGGCAGCTTAGTTACAAGGACAGAAGCCGGGGTGAGGACAGCCTTCCTGTCCTTTACTGCCAATGGCCACCACGAGTGAACTCAGTAACACTTATCTGAGCCCAGCCTGAGATATGGATGGTATGGTCATAAAGCCAGGCACAGGCCAGGTCCAGGTTGGAATCTTGGCTCCTCTATGCCTCAGCTGTCTGACTCTGGGCAACTCACTCACCTGTCTTGAGTCCTGCTTCCTAGACTGTAAGACAACACAGTACCATTTCACCAGGCCATGGGGAATCAACTGAGAGGATGATGCCCAGTGACCGGTCAGTGCTGACCTATTTTTGTTAGAGACCGGATATTGTGACCGTTGTTACTAAGGTCAGTGTCTGTTTCTGGGGCATGGGGACATTTGCCTGAGCACTTAGCAGAGCCTTCTGAAGCATTTCCGGGGGTGACCACCAGAGGGCTGTAGTGAGTCTGTGGGCCTGGCCCAACACCTAGGGGGTATGCTCCCAAGTTGAACTTTGCTGTTGACCTCTCTGGCTATTCCAGGAAAGTCTACATTCTTCCTAGCCCTAGCTGGGACCCAGAACAAGACAAACACTGACAGGGAGACTGGGGCCACACGGTGGGGTGGTGCGCGTTGTCTCACCTCATACTCCTGGGAGAACTTGAGCCCATCGTTGGCTTTGAGTCGCTCGATATTGTCTGCCAGGTCGGTGATGGGAATGGGAGGGTGGTCTCGCATACCTGGGGGAGGTAAAGCGCACATACACACGGAATCAGCGTGAGTTCTAAACAGGGTGGCAGACACAGCCCAAGGCATGTATGTGAACATGTGTGATCATGGAGTACTTGGCACTGGTGGCATGGAGAGACATCAGCGCATGCGGCGACAGGGATGGCAGAACACAGTGGTTGGGGAAGCCAGAGAGGGAGGTGTGTGTACTGTGAGCACACAGGCATGTTCAGGTGATCTGGTGCTGCATGGGGACAACAGGGCTCTCTGCCTGGCAGGGCAGGGAAGTCGCAACAGTAGACACCTGTTTCAGACAGACCCCTGCCCCTCATCGATGCCAGTCACCCTGGGAGATCTGGTGACCCTGTCATCCCAGGCACCAAGTGCGTGGACAGAATGGTCATGGAGTACAAAGACAATGGCAGAGTGACACAGAAGAAGAGAGAGAAGCAGGGACCAGGGGGAAGGTGTGAAGACAGAGGCAAGGGAACAGGACGCAGGGGCACCAGATGGTGTCAGACCAGAAGTGGCAGGGACAGGGAGACAGGGTGGGACAGAGGACACTGGAGGAAGCAAGGTGGGCAGGAGAGGGGAGGGCGAGACTCGAGACAGTTAGGAGAAGAGGAAACAGAGGACGGGGGAGGGAGGGAGGGAGGGAGGGAGGGAGGGAGGGAGGGAGGGAGGGAGGGAGGGAGGGAGAGTGGAGACAGACACAGAAGCCAAGTGTCCCCAGACATGGAAACTTTGAAAACTAACTTGAGATATTCGGGCAGCTGGGGGCACTGGAACCTGCAGAGAAACAATGGGGAGAGAGCAGAGCTCAGTGACCCTCTCTGGTCACCCGGTTCTGCAGGGAGGCAGGTGAAGGGCAAGAGGAAGGGACATAGATGGGGCAGTAAGAGACCAGGAAGTATGGGGTAGGTCCCACTACAAGCTCCCTTGTCTCCCCATGACGCAGATGTCCCACCTCCAGGGGTGAGTGCTTCCAAACACCACAGTCTGGTCTGAGTGACCTCTGGGGGCTCTATGAGCAGACACTCAGTTCTACCCAGTCCTCAGCCCCTCACATCTGACCGTGGTACTTTCAGATGGTCTCCACACTGGAAATGGAAAACCTCTTCTACTCTCACTCCCTTCTCTTCTTGAGGTTGTCATGAAGCCATGGTATCCTTCACACTCTGACATCTGAATGGGCTCTGAATGTCACCTTTGCTGTTCTTCAAGCCACAGAAAAACCTCTGCTGGGTATTCTGCTGGAAATGTGGCTGGCTGGGTCCCACAACCTAAGACCTCCCCAAACAAAGCTACTGGCCCTGCCTCCTCATTACCCTAGCACCTGAGACAGGGCCCCTTCCTGCCAGGCACCTCTGCACGCATCCTCTCCTAACACTACGCCAGCCTGCCTCCGTGGGTCCCTTTCCCTTTCTACTTGTCCTGGGAGTCTGTCCACTCTGGGCTAGGAGCACGGCACGATCCTGGGCACCACTTACACTGGTGGCTTCAGTGCTGAGGTCAGCACAAAGGTCCAGATCCACAAGCCTACTGCCACTTGGACAGCCTCCGTGGCAGCAGCCATAGCACCACCGCTGCGCCTGCGTGGGCTCAAGCTGAAACCCTTCTGCCTCAGCTACCCTCAGCTTGAGCCTCCGTCCCCCTGACACTCTGCTATTGCTAAAGTGCCCTGCTCCAATTTCTTCCCCATCAGCTCACTCTCCACACAAGCGGTCACAGGCATTTCTCCAGCAGCCCTGCTGCTCCCCAAATGAAGACCTTCAACAACTCCTGGGCCCCTTAGGATGAGTGTAAGCATAGCTAGTCGAGGAGACCTCTGCCTAGTCCCAGTTTCCCCTTGGTAGAACACTCCAAGGCTGCAGAAAGACTAAGGGTTTCCACTCGATGTACACACTGCTTCCACTTAGGGCCACCTCCATGGCCTGGATGTGGCCTACGAGGTTTGGCACCCCAAGAGCCGTCTTCTCTGCTCTCTACCACGCCACTCTGGTGCTTGCATTCCCTACATATTCAGTCACCAATTACAACAGCTTGCAACAGGGCATACGCTTTCAAGACACGTGTCTGTGGAACCCAGTCACCATGTTGTGAGGAAGCCCAGGCTACACAAAGAGGCTAGCTCATCAACTACCCACCACCTGAGCAACCCCCCCCGCCCCGGGGTTGGCAAACGTTCACTACAAAAGGGCAGAAAACAAGAATTTTAGGCCTGCTTTCAGACACCCAGGATCTGTTCCACTTTCTATCTGTAAATTGACTTCTGGAGTGCAAATGTCCCCAGAAATGAATGGCTGCAGTGGACTGTCCCCTGAAGACCTTATTTACAAAAGCAGGTGGTGGGTCCTATCTGGCTCCAGCCCCCCTTTAAATGATTCTAGATCCCAGCCTTCACGTCTTTCGGCTGAGGGCCCGGACATTCTACAGTAGGTACTGATCCTGCCAGGCCCTGCCTGACTTACTGACTCATAAAAATTCTGAGAGAATCCATAATTACTGTTGTTTTAAGCCTCCGAGTTTAGGGGTAATTTGATGTGCAGTGATAACTGGCTCCCGCATACACACACGCTCTGTGTGCACACATTAGCTCACTCATTTGTTCCATTGTGTGTTCACAGGCATCTGAGGACAATCCACTGCACGATAAATACGAGGATGGGGATGGACGAGACAGGTCCTGGAGCTATAGCTACAGAGACTGTCACTGAGGCAATTCCAGCTCTCTTTAAGAGACATCCTTTTTTTGTTTGTTTGTTTTTTCGAGACAGGTTTCTCTGCACTGTTCTGTAGGCTGTCCTGGTAAGAGACATCTTGATGGGAGCCGAGGCCTGAGGTCTCTGGGGTGTAGTGAAGGAGTGATATTCCAGATGAACAGAACAGTTGGAAGGCACAAGAGAGAGAGCTGGGCTGGAGCTGGGACACCACGTCCCTGCACAGTGAACCTAAAACAGCCTCCAAGAAGGGTCAGGTATAAGCCCCTCATCCACCAGGCTGTCAGCTGCAGCTACATAGGCTGTGTGTGTGTGTGTGAGGTATAAGCCCCTCATCTACCAGGCTGTCGGCTGCAGCTTCTCAGTTCTAACATAGGGGTGTATGTGTGTGAAGATGTGCGCATGCGTTTGTGTGCCTGCTCAAGGGAGCAGATACAGAGACTGGCCACCTATGCCAGAGATGTGGGCTCCAAGAGGCTCCTTCTAGTTCACATTCAGAGACTGGAGCCCCTTGTTGTCTCAGGAAGTCCCCTTGCCCCAGAGTGCCTGTCTACCTGTTGGCTACGGAAGCCTCACTCAGTAATGTCAATCCAAAGGGAACAAAGATTAAAAAAAAAGAAGAGAAGCAATGAGAAATCAGCCTGCACGGGGCCTTTTTGTGGAGAACCCTATGCCTGCAGGACAGAGCTGGAGGGCAGACCTACCTGGGGTCTGGTAGTTGAGCCTTCGCATCTCCACAGGGTCGGAAGAGTGGGCCAACAGGGAGTCCTTCAGCCCAATTGACTGCTCATCCTTTGACGATGGGGAGTGTGTTCTCTTCCTAAAGAAGCAAGGGGAGGCTAGTGAAAACCTGGGGTACAGGCAGCCCCGTGGCCACAGCTGTCTTGCCACTACCCCGCCTTATCCTGGGATCTTCGGGCACGAGCCAGGGGCAGAGCCGTGTCAACATGAGAGAACACAGGGCAGGGATGGGCTGGGAGACAGCAGGTGTGGAGTGGGCAGCAAGGGAGCGGTGCAGCAAGGGAGGAAAGTTACAGAGGCAGGCGGTTCCTCCAGACAGGAGGCAAGTCACCGCTGGCCAGGGCCACTGTCTTAAGACTACCTACCACAGCTGAGGCGTCAGAAGCCACCAGGAAAAAAACAAAACATGCAATGACACATAAAATACACAATGTACATACAAGGGACTGGCTCCCAGCTGCCTGGCTCTCAGGGTATCAGGGTCAATGCCCAAAACAACAGGGGAGGGGCAGAAAAGGCGTGTCCCTAGCCAGGCAGAGTCCTCTCATGGACCTCAACTTGCCCACCTAAAAGGACAGGGTCAGAGACAGACTACCCAGGAACCAGCTGCAGTTCCTGTACAGGAGTCTCTGGGAGAACTTGGAAGCACGCCTGCGCATGTGTGCATCAGGACACCTTTCCCTGCTGCTCGGCAGAGTGTAGAGAGGCGGTCTCTTGTAGGAATTAGGTTGGAGAAATGGGAGCCTAGGGAGGGTTCTGGAGAGCTCTGTGGACTCAGGGAAGCAGTGAGGGCTGCAGCGTGCACATGCCCCAGGGAGGAGCATCTGTGGAAGGGACTAACAGAAGCGAGACAGAGCCTGCCCCTCATGCCAATGAGGACTCATTCCCAACCAGCCAGCCTACTATGCTGGCCGGACAGCTTGCTGATTAAAGCCACAGGTTAAGAGGGTACTGGTCAGAGCTCCACCCCTCCCTGCAGGCCCAAGATGTGCACAGGGATAAGTAGAGGGGGAAGCGTGTAAAGAGAGAAGGAACGACGACTCCTACCTTTCTTGTTTACTAGGTCCCGAGAGACAGGCAAGCACAGAAGAAAGGAACGGTCACTGTTTCTGCAGAGCACTTAGCCCTCACATGACAAGGGAGCTGGGTACCTGGTAAGGTACCTGTGTGACAACCTCAGGGAGGGAGTTCACCTCTATGTGTACACACCACAGCCCAGGTGGGAACGGGAAGGAGCACGGGATCCAGACCAGGGCGGGGTGATGACAGGGCACAGGAGTTGGGCACCTCCATGAGGTGACTATCACACATGGACGGCACATGTTCTACCACCATCCATGTTCCAGTTGCTGGGGCTCAGCATAAACATAGCTGTAGGCACAGCACATGTCCAGTGGGGCATCCTGGGGGGGATGTTGGGACCAGGAGTCAAGAGAGGTTTCTCAAACACCAGAGACTAGAATCGACTGTGAGGGATGAAGGGACAGCGGCCAGGTGAGGAGGTTCTGGGCGGTAGGGGTGGGGCTGCTGGAGAGCAGGAGCCCAGGGACCAAGCAACAACATAATTCGGAATAATGATGTCAAGGGTGATGCTAAAGACACAATTAGCCAGGCCAGGCATTTCAACTGTCAAGCTCAAAGGTTGGGCTTAGGAAAAAAAAAACCCAAACAAACAAACAAAAAAAACACAAGTTTTTGTGGTACCAGGGATTGAACCCCAGGCTTTATATATGTGAAGGCAGGCACTCTACACTGAGTAATAGCTCCAGACCTTAAAAACAAAACAAAAAACATTTTTTTCTTCTGAGATTAGATCTAGCTAAGTTATCCAGATTAGTCCTGAATCCTGCTACATCAATCCCCTGAGTAGCTGGTATTTCAGGCCTGAACCACACAGGTCCAGTTCATCCAAAGACTTTATATCAGCTAACCAGGCGGTGGTGGTGCACACCTTAATCCCAACACTTGAGAGATAGGCAGATCTCTGTGAGTTTGAAACCAGCCTGGTCTACACACTGAGTTCTAGGGAAGTCAAGGCTACATAGAGTGACCCTGTCTCAAAACAAAAAACAAAAAAAGATTTTAAATTGGGGGTGGTCAAGTCAAATCCCTGGAAACAGCTTGGGAACTGGGAGGGCAGGATACCTCCAGGGACAGTGCTACAGCTACCCAGGAGAGCAAGTGTTAAGAGACAGCTATGGGTATAATCGATCTTTAATAAGCAGCTGCTATGCAAATACTCATGGGACATGGGCTACAACTCAGTCTGGACCTCTGTGGGCCTAAGCAGGAAAGGCGGCCAGGGAACCACCCAGGAATTAGCAGAAGAGAAGTGCTTACAGCAGGAGACCAGTGGCTACTGAAAGGAGACAGACACGCTCACATGCACAGACACAGACAGACAGATGGACACGACTGGGGACATATGAGGTTCACCTCAGTCCTTCTTCATAAAGGTGGGCCGCACAGAAGTGCACACACACAGAGCTGTTTCTATCCATCCTGGCTTCCCATGGCACCCAGGGGCCAGGCTGAGATGGCCAACTTAATACTACACCAGAGAGTGTCTGAGAGGCCAGCGGTAGGCTCTGTCCCCCAGATCCAGGTATAGCACTCACCTCTTGAACAGGAGGATAGCGATGACAATGAGTATGATGAGAATGACTGCCAGGACAGGGCCTGTCACCCACAGCATCTCAGGCTCCTCCTGCTGCTGGGCTGGTGTCACTTGGACGACAATCTCATCCGAGTAGGGGCTGGAGGCATAGCGCTTCTGTGGGTCAATAAAGCAACAGCACAGGCTGTGAGGACAGCATTAAACCCCACCCTCACTGGTCAACCCCGGAAAGATCGGGATACACTGGGCTCTAAACCCTGTAAAACTGACTTCCAGCAGGCCAGCAGCACTGGGTTACTCAAGCCAAGTTAGGCCTGGTCTTCTAGGGCCCGAGACCCAGTGTCATGGGAAACCTAGGATAGGTCTTGGTCCTCAGGGTTGTCCTAGTTCTAGGACGTTGGGGTCTCAGGGATAATGCGGACCTGGGGTCTCCCAAGGTCTGAGACTGGACTAGTGTTAGATTAAGGCCAGGGTCTCGGGGTCTCAGGGTTCGGAGAGTCATGTCAGCTCAGGCCAACCTGGTCCATGGGTTCCTTGAGGGAAGCGAGCACAAAGCACTGGTAACTCAGGTCTGGAGACAGGGGCCGGTTGTAGAAGCCCCGGTAATTCTTCTTGTCCCCGAGGGTGAAGGTGTCAGGGAGCACATCCACCTGAGCTGCCACATAGGGCTTGAGTCGCTCTGCTTGGCGCCGGCGCCTCCTCCGTTCCTCCCCGCCCTGCTCGATGGCCTCTAGAAGCTGGCAGGGCAGAGCACGGTCACACAAGGCCTGATAGCACACTGACCCTGACATGGGGGTTCCCTCTCCCTAAGGGACCCCTCGGGACCTGGCCAGGCCACGGCCCTTATAGGATACTGCCTGACATCACAGCGTGACCCTTCTGGTAGTCTACGAGGAAGGGCCTCATGAATAACCTCACCCTAACCAGAGATGCAGTTTCCACATGGGTTTCGAGGAGGAAACAGGAGATTTCATGTGTTCAAGAGAACTTAGGCTTAAGGTTCCCACCAGCCCTGCATGAGCTGCTCTATACCCCAGGCCTCTCTGAGGTCCACAGGGCTCAGGACACTCTTTCGTTTTTGTTTTTTTTTTTTGAGACAGGGTTTCTCTGTATGGCTTTGGAGGCTGTCCTGGAACACACTTCGTAGACCAGGCTAGCCTCCAACTCCCAGAGATCTACCTGCCTCTACCTCCTGGGATTAAAGGCGTGTGCCCGGCGGCTCAGGACACTCTTAGAGGTGCAGAGATGTCTCCACTGTCTCCTATACCATGGAATTCTTACCAAATGCCTCTGGGAAGTCTCTGTAAGCCCTCCTTGAGTTCAAAACACCCCCGCCCCATGGGGTGTCCCCTCAAGAGTCCCTCTCTCCAGAGAGTGGCCGACTGCCGACCACACAGGGCTGCCCTCAGTGTCGGTCCTTCCCTAGGCACCTACCTCATCCAGCTCCAGCTCCTCTGGGGTGTTCCACCTTGGTGTCAGCAAGTTCCCGCCCACACGGTCAATGGGCACCACCACGATGTAGAACCACCTGTGTGGACAGAGCAACAGTCAGAGCCTTCGCTGCCAGGAGCTATGGCCCTGCTCCATACCAGCCTCTGACCTCTTCTGCACACCTGACTAGCGAGGGCTCCTGGACTTGAGGCATGGAGAGGGAGAAGCGGCCATCCTCTATAAAGGCAGAGGCAGGCAGTGGCTTGTTCGGCAGGAGGTCTGGAGCGGTGCGGATAGACACCAGGTGCTGCAGGCCCCCAGCGCTACTGCCACGATTCATCAGCACAAAGGAGTACTCTGTGTTGGGCTGCAAGTCTGCAATCAGCTTCCTCATCGAGTGCCCGTCCACCTCCACACTCTGCCCATTGTACAGAATCTGTGGGGGGAAGAGAAGGGGCAGCTAGTGACTCTGGGTGACAACCCACCCTACGTCTACAGGGCACGGTGGCTGCACAGGGATCCGGTCTGACAGGCCCACGCCCGTGGGCACTGGGATGCTGTGACAGTGCAGAGCAGAGGCGGGTGTCCTGGGCCAGCAGTGGTCCTTACCCACCTTGAAGGGCACAGCTGACTTATAGGAGTCGGGGACTTCCCAACTGAGCAGCACAGATGTCTTCATTGCAGCCGCCACACGGAAGTTCTTGGCAAACACTGTGGAGGCATGAGGAGGGAGTCAGCTCTGCAGATAGCTGGGGTGGGGTGAACGGGCCAGAGACCGTGACAATGGCTAAAGCACAGAGGAGTGGGGAGAGAGGGAAAGAGTAGGGGACTAAAGGTGACAGCCAAGTACCCCGAGTCAACTTTACAAGGCATAGTCCAACTCCTGACCCGGGTTCTTCCACAGTGAGCACTGGACTGGCTGGGGGGTGCCACAGCAGTTGTGACCACATCTCCAAAAGAGCATGAGTAAAGCCTGAGCTCAGACACCAGATCAGAGTAGCCAGGGATCACTGGGTTGTGGTCACGAGAAGCATGCGGCTACATAGCAGGGCATGGTCTCTGGATGTAAGTAGGTTAGGCCCCACAAGATTAGTGCTACAAACCACAGTACAGTAAGCTGCACAGCCCAGAATGGTGACAGCAAAAAGAGATCAGTGGTTCAAGATCACAAGAGACTGGAAGGTCACGCAGCACAGGTCAGTAGGTCAAGGACAGCAGAGGTCAGGGTCACACACCCAAGAATGTGGTGCCTGTTCATTAGAGGTTAGCGATCAAGTGTCACACAGCAGAAGCTGGTGCATCAGTTGAGACAGGTCAGTGGGTCAAGGACAGCACAGGTCCCTAGGAGCAGTCACGCTTGGGCAGCCATTGCCATGACCGCAGCACACACCTTGCTCCATGGGCATGGTCCGGGACTGGATGCTGGGGCTGAGTGGGCCGGCGCCTTTGCTGGTATGTGCACGGACCTTGATGTCATAAGTGGTGTCTGGTTTGAGGCCAAACAGTGTAAGGTGCATATCATCAGTGACATTCTGCAGTTCATGCTGGCTGTTGATGTCACGGTAGACCACAGTATAGTTGGTGATGCGCCCGTTCCTCTCTGCCAGCACAGGTGGGTCCCAGGCCAGTTCCGTAGTAGATGTAGTCAGTCCTATCACTCGAAGGTTTTGAGGAAAGCCACTGGGCACATCCTCAGGGGTTGTGATTTCCTTCTCAAACTCTTCACCTGGGCCAGCCCGGTTCTTGGCAGCAAGCCGGAAGATGTAGGTAGCTCCTTTGTGCAGACCAGTGACTGTAAAATGCTGGTCATCCTTGCCAAAATCTATGGTGTTGGGCCGCGCCTCATCAGCCCGCCGGTATTGTAGACGGTAGCCCAGCAGCTCTCCGGGCAGCTCCTTGGGTGGGTGCCACTGCAGCAGCGCGGTGTGCATGGCTGTGGTGCTGACCATCATGGTGGGCCGGCCTGGGACTGAACAGCACGCACTGGGCTCTGGTGCTGCCCTCCCTGCTACCCACCCGGCTTTGTCCCTGACCCCTAACTCACCTGCCCCAGCTGTGGTAACCACTTTGGGCTTGCTTCGGGCGCCATCCCCCTTGGTGGTGTAGGCAGCAACAGTAATGGAGTAGGTGGTCTCAGGGGTGAGGCCACTGATGGTGGTTTCCTGAAGGAGAAGGGGGAAGGGCAGGTCCCATCACAATGTGCGAGAAGAGGCTTGACTATCAGTCACCTGCAGACTGTAGCCAAGGTTGCCCCCAGGTACACAGGACCACGGTCTTGGGAGGTGGAGCTATATAAATCCTTACTTGGCTGGAGGCAGGACAGCCAGGTGGGATGTGGGCTAGGAGCATGCCACCCACCCCAGAAGCCCCATGCCTGGGGCAGACAGCTCATTCTTCCTTTCAGAGAAGAACAAAGGGCCACACTGTTTCTTTCACTCCATTGTGCTGTGAGTGACACCTCCTGAGGTCCCCACACACGCACCAGGACAGAGCCTTGCACGCACCCAGCACCTTGCATGTCTCTTGGCACGCACATGCATAGACTACAGTCCCTCCTGAATTAGCAGGTGCAAGGCCACTTATAGACACTAATACAAACATAGGGGGAGGGGAGAGAGAGGGAGAGGAAGAGAGACAGAGAGAGAGCGCTCACAGGGTAGAGGAGACGGCCAAGGCACAACACTGTAAGTTGGATGGATCCCATCTAGTTCAGTGACTGTGACACCCAATCCCTCCTGAGACCACATTAAGAGTGGGAAAGACAGGACACAGAACTCCCCATTCCCAAGAACACATTCCCATTTCCACTGATGCCGAGAAGTCAGCCACTCCATTTCCTTCTGCCCTGGTGGATCCTACCCACACACCCCATCCAGCAAAGGCATCATTTCCGGACATGGGGAGAAATACCATAGGAGACCAAGCCACGCCACACAGAGAACAGGAAGGGAGAGAGGGTACCACCGTGGAGTAGGAATAGGGCTGTCATCACCAGCCCTGGTATCCCTCCAGCTCTAAGCCTCAGGTGGAGCCAACTGCAGATGCCAACAACCTTTGCAGGGTCCTGCCTGCCCAAGCTGGAGGGTCTTCCAGGACTTGGGCTCCCCAGTGCTTCTCCCAGCCTGGGCCTGAGCAGGTGATTTTTCACTCCAAGGATCAATAAGGCCTAATGATCAGGATTGGATTTAACTCCATTCCTGTCTGGCCAGAGCAGAGGCCAGGTCCTGGTCGATTGTGAACATTGGCCTCAAATTGCCGCTCGACAGGCGAGGAGTACGGATTAGAGGAAACGCCAATCACTGCTCAGCCTGATGCTCATGTCTACACGCCAATTTTCTCTGGATGTGGCTGGTGCCCTGTGGATCTTGGCAACACAGGCTGGGAGAGGGGGAGTGTCCCATGAGCCCAGCCTGACCCAGTCTTGCCCGTGCTTGCACACCTGTTACTTACATAGTCCTCGGACTCCTCTGGTCTCCACTGACCCACGGGAGAGGGAAAGAAAGGGAGACAAGATGGTGAAGGATTTTGACTTGGAGAGGACTTGGCCCATGGAGGACTGATAAGACAGCTCTGATGTGCCCACTGAGAGCCCAGGACCACTCCCCATTCACACACAAGTGTCTGCATCACCGAGCACCAGCTGTGTGTACCAGGCCTAACAAGGGCAGGGAGACATGGACCATGTCACATATGAAATAGGTTTGACACTAAGGGTACCTGAAGTCCTAACCTATGCACACTTGCTATAGCTGTTCAGCCTCATTTATTTTTCTCACTCTCATTATCTCAGCTGAAACAACAAAATTAAGAGTCACCGAAGCTAAGGTGACACTCTGAGGAATGTCACAGAACATAACTGCTGGCATTATGGCTAGAGTGGGCCAAGAGTCAGGCTTGTCAGCAAGATCATAAAGACTGCTGAGTAGCCGGCTCAGAGTCTGGACATTACCCCATAGCCACAAGGAGACCTCACACCCCGAGTTCCATTCTACAGGTGCCTGGGGTCAAAGTAGGAAAACTACCTTCATGGCTAGCAATGGTAAATTCTAATGCTGATGTATCTGGGTATGCTAGATGTAGGCAAATGGACTGAAGCCTCTAATCCAAGGACCCCGTGGTCCGAACTAGGGGTTGGCCAGTGAAGGACAGACCCTGCTTTGAGCCCTCCAGCCAGACCACCCTCATGTAGCTGGCCTGGCCTCTGTCCACTGGCCTGGTGCTGGAGTGGCCGAGCACCTGCTGCTGTGGTAAGCTCAGTCACAGTCTTTGAGACAGAATATGGAAAAGGCTGGAAAGACTCCCTAAAGACCACGTTTACTTTGCAGAGTGAGCAGGGACTAACTCTATTTAGGCTGCCTCATTTGAGAGGAGACCTGGGCTTCCCAAGCCAGGCCCTAGTGTGGAGTTATCACATGTGGCCTCTCCTATGTCAGGCGGTGAAAAGGGAGAAGACAGCAGGGTGGAGCAGCATGGAGAGGGGTGGGCAGGACAAGGACGAGGCTGGAGGAGTAGGGAGATGAGGAGAACGAAGAAAAACCACAACAGTGGGAGGAAAAGCATGAAAAAGGAACGAAAGGAAGCGGAGAGTCTCATAGGGAGGGAGCACGGGGGGGGGGGCAGGCTAGCCTACACACTCAAAGTGGGGATACCCATCACGTGTTTCCTTCTGATCCTACTGGGGCCCTGGGCTGCACAGATGGTTTTATTAGGTGGAGAAGGGCAGACTAGGATGTCCTTGACAAGAGTCACACAGGGGACAGCGAGGCCCTGGGGCCAGGCTGGGTAAGTGCTCCAGATGGTCTCCCACTGGCCCAAAGCAGGATGACCCAGTCTCAGGGGGCATGGGGCTACAAGGGCGGGCCTTGTCTACCAGGGCCTCCCCGAAGTCTGCTTGAGTATATTACACATAAAGGACACAAATATGGTGACCATGTCCCTGATCTTACTGCCTACCCCCCTCCAAACTGCTGGGGATCAGTAAAGTATATGAAGAGGCTTTCCTGGGACCCCAGTGGCTGCAGCTGTGGCGCCAGACTACTAGGATGGGAGGGGCAGGATCGAGTCATTCTCTGGATGTTTCTGGGCGGGTGTGTCTGCTGAGACTTTGTAAGGAGCCCTCAACCTGCCCCAGGAATGCAGGCTGGTGAACACACCCACTGCCACCACCCCTGGGTCCCCTCAGCACAGGCAGGTTGGGAGAAGAAAGAGGGCACCCTCTAGGCAGAGAAGAATTTTGGCTGAGAGGGTAGAGCCCAGCCAAAAGCATGAAGGTTGTTTGTCTGTGTGGGAGCCCATCCCTCAGCACAGCCTGCAGAATATGGGGTTCACGCTGGGAGGGAAGGGAATCTAAGCTCTTCCCATGGGGACTTAGTGCTGGCCTGAGAATCCTCAGGATCTGCTTCTGGATAGGGAGACCCTGAGGGCAGATAAGACAGGCTTGATTAGTCCTTTCCCTGTGTAGAGAGACTTGGCCTCCTAGCCAAGTCCCTGTCATCCACTTGCTGGCTCATTTTGGCTATATGTATGTATAACCAACCTCAAAACACTTCATGATCCTAACAGCAAGTCAGGGGTCAGAATATTGAGGGACCTCACTGTAAGTTGGGGGGCAAATCCCCCAAGAAGACAGAAGCTTACAAGAGGAAAGGGCTGGCTGGCAGGCTCAGACTTGGAGATAAACATCAGGGTTCAATCACTCAGGTGATTATTTGCACAGCTTTGGCTCAGTCTCTCGCTTGAGGCCAAAGAGGATAGAGAAGCCTTGGAGTCCCTGTCTGTCTCTGGCTGTGTGTCACAGGGAATACTGAGACCAGCCCTGCCAGGGACAACAGCACAGCTCAAAGCCACAGCAAATGTGCTTCCTGGGAACCACAAGGCTGAGGCCAGGACAGTGTGCAAGGAGCCTGGGGGCATTGTAGGCAGCCCTTGAACATGGGTGACTAAGACTGCTACCAGGGCGGAGGGGGTGGCAGAGCCTAGGTTGACAACTTGAGCAATCCTAACACACAAAAGAAGTATCCTTGGAACCTGGGCCTCACCTGATCTCAATACCTCCCTATCTGACAGACTAAGGCAGCTCCAATATGACCATAAAACGCATAAACACCTCCAAGGGCAGGAAGGGGAGGGAATAAGTCTGGGTTCTGGGGAGTAATGTGACACACTGATCACTGCTTACCCTGCCACCCAGCACTATCAGTGACATACCTGAGCCTCAGCCAGCATGACATCCTGGATGATGGGTTGGCCTCGGGGTTCACCATTCTCCAACCGCACATAGGTGACCTGGTAGCCACGAATCTGTCCGTGCTGCTTGTTGGGGACAGGCAGCTTCCAGGAGACATGTACAGCAGTAGAGTTCAGAGGCTCAACCTCCACCTTCCGTGGTGGTCCGCTGGGCACTGGAGGCCAGGTAGAGAGGGAAGTCAGACACGGGAACTGAGCCTGGCTTAGGGTATGTACAATTAACTTCATGGCTGTGACTCTGCACCCAACCCCCTGGGAAAGGCTCCAATGTTGTTTCTTTGGCTAACTGATCTGATGAGAAAACCCTTTGCCTGACCTGGGTCATCTGGTAGGGGAAAGGAGATGTGGCAAACAGCCAGAGGTGAGATACCATGCCTTCAACTACCCAGGCTCACACCATCTGTCACAGATTTCATCAATATTCAGCCAAAGCCCATTGGCTCTACTAGTCTTCTGCACGCATCTTCCTAATCCTGACTCTCAGATTGGGTGGGGCTGCTTCTTCTGCCACAGCCCTTTAAGGTTCTTAAGGTTATCTTGGAGATGGCCCAGAAGCCAGGACCCGGACATGAGCTACCCCACCAATTACATGTCCCTGGAGTCTAGACCATTAAGCTAAGTTTAGGAAATGAGTCTGTCAGGTCCCTCCCACCCCTCATGACGACGCTACCCAGTGCAGCCTACCGTCCTCATCGGTGCGCACCAGCACCGGGCTGCTCTCGGGGCCAGGGCCCACATCTGTGTGTGCCCGCACCCACACCCGGTACTCCGTCCACTTCTCCAGGCCCAACAGGTCCCAGCTGGAGTGCTCACGGCTGATGCCATCCACCACATGCCGCTTACGGTCCTCGCCGTCCACTGCCTCATAGGCCACCGAGTATTGGGTGATAATGCCGTTGCGGCTGTCAGCTGGCGGTGGCACCCAACTTACCCGGACCGTGGTGGAGCCCGTGCTCACACATGTCACCTTCTGGGGAGGGGCGGATGGGGCTGGGGAAGACAAATGGGGGGAAAGCAGGCAAATGGAGGGTGGGGATCACAGGCACAGTGACCAAGTTACAAGGGACCGGAGATTCACCCAGCTATCCTGTGGCCCTCTAGGCATACTGCTGCTGAGATAGCCTGACTCCTTCTGAACTAGCTTTTTACTCTTAAACATAGGCGTGTGAACGTGTATACACACACACACACACACACACACACACACACACACACTAACACGGTATGTGAAGTGTCTCACATGCACATATGGAGTTCTAACGGCATCCCTCCTATGCATATGCCGTCTCACACAAACATGGTATCTCGTGTGTGTGTGTGTGTGTGTGTGTGTGTGTGTGTGTGTGTGTGTGTGTGTGAACTTAATACAATCCTTCTGGGGATAAGTAACGCAGACTACCTTAACCTGTGTCTATTTGGTCAGGGTCTCTGAGCTTAGGTTCATAAAACACTGAAACGAGACAAGAGGATGGCTAGTAAGTAGCCTCTGAGATCTGGATTCCTTAAGAGTCAGAAGGCAAGTGTGTACTCCCTTTCGGCCTGTGACTTTTCTAGACACCACTACAAATACAGGAGCTTCCTGTCACCTCACATTTGCCACTCCCTGCCCAGGTTAACTTCAACAGTCCTCCATTCACTGACAACACAGCCCAGCTCTCCAGGGGTTTGGTTTGGTTTTCCTTGCCCAGCATGGCCTATGCTGAGCGTACCACTAGTGCTGGGAATGGTCCTACCTCCAAATCTGTGGCCTTCTACCTCCCCAGCAGACCCACCTCTTGCCCCAGTTAAGTCACCCAGCCCCTACTAGCATTCTACTCCTCATCCCTGAGGACCTCCATCCTCACAGCCTTTAGCTTTGACTTAAGGTGCACCGTGTCCTCACAGTAGCCTAAACTCACTTCATCTGCCTTCTTATGTTTTTTTGGAGACAGGGTTTCTCTGTGTAGGTCTGTAGACCAGGCTGGCCTGGAACTCATCTGTCTTTTTATGTGTGTGTGGTATACATATATTTGAACATGTGGGTACATGCACCTGTACACACACATGTGAAAGCCAGAGGATGATGTCAGGTATCCTACTTTATCCTACACAACCTAATGCCCTTGAAACAGGGTCTCTCACTGAGCCCGAAGCTAGCCTGGCAGTCAGCAAGCCCCAGGAATTCCCGTCTCAGCCTCCCAATAAACAGCGTTAGTGCTGAAGGGATGCATGTGCCAGACCCAACTCTTTGTATGGGCGATGAGGATTTGAACTCAAGTCCTCATGATTATGCAGCAAGCTCTCTTACAGCCTGAGGCATCTCCCCAGCCCCTCATTTTTCTGTCACTAACTGAACCATATTAGGTAATAAGTAAGGTGGCACCGATGCAATCAGGAGCTACGTGGCCAGGGGTGCGCCCCCTTCTTTGGGTCACCTGCTCAAGTCTATTCTATCTTGCTCTCTCGGCCACTTTACAGATAATGCAACCAACCTGCAGTTCCCAAACCTCCAGCTCCTTTTGCTTACAGGCACATAAGCTTTCAGCTGGCCTTCCTACCGTAGCTCCCTCTGTTTCCAGCTACCTGCCCCCCTCTTTCTGTACACGCTCAAGAGTGGAGTCCAAGGTCAAGCTCCCTCACCACTCTGCCCTCCTCTTTCTACCTCCAGAGGACTTTACCAGCTGCCCCTCTCCTTCCACACTTCCTGCTTTGTGCCCCTCCCCCCTCTCATTTTTTCGAGACAGGGCTTCTCTGTGTAGCCCTGGCTGTCCTGGAACTCAGAGATCCACCTGCCTCTGACTCCCGAGTGTTGGGATTACAGAGACGTGCACCACCACCAACTGGCTGGTCCCAACTCTCAAAACAGCACTAGGTGCACTTCAAGAGTTCCCGCCTTCAAAGCAAAGCCTGTCGTCAAAGCCGCAGGCTCTCCAGTTACCACAGTCCCTTACAGCTAGCTTTTAATGACATCCAAGCATGCTGGCTTACTTCCTCCCCTCCCACAACCTCTCTAGGACACCACACACACCCTCCAGGTCCGCTTTCCCAACTACACCCAATTCCCTCGGGACAGCAGCAGCCTCAGGCCACCTTTGTGGTCTCCTTTATCCTCCTCCCTGCCCCTAGATTCCATTCCATTTCCGGGCTTCTCAGGTCTGCTTCCCCCAGCCCTGCCAGCACAATTGTACACTTGACAGACACTTGAACCTGGTGTCTGAAATCAGGTGTACTAGTTCGCACCTGCTTCCGTCCATTTCCTGTCCTGGGGCAGTGTGCCTTTTCAGAGTCTCCTACCAGAAACAAGACAAACCTCCATGTGCCTATCCCACTGCTCCCATCACCAAGTCCTGGCCAGGCAGAGTCCTAGATAACTCAAAAACTCACGATTACCATTTGAGCCCACCCTCTAAACTTTACCCACTCCACTGAAAAGGCTTCTAAGTGATCTCATGGGCCACCTGTTCATTTTCAAGGAGCAGGCAGAGCTATCCTTGTTCTTCAACCCTGACTGCTAGAGCTTGGGTGGCTGCTCTGGGAACAGCGGTTGGCAGAGTCCCTGCCGTGGGCCCCCATATTCCCTGTTCCTTTTGCCTAGTTAGCTTCCATCAACCTAGGAGAAGCGTCACACCTCCAAGCCAACTCTCTGACCTCTCACCAATGGTGTTTACTGCACTGCGACGCCTCCACCCTCCCATCCCAGCTCACCTAACACAAATATAATTAGAAGTTCATCTGGGTAATTACAGGCACACTGAATGTCTCAGTCTACTGTAGGGTCCAATGGACAGAGGGCTTGTCTTCTGGCCATGCTGCCAGACTGGTAGCATGTTTGGTCTGGCCCCCAGAAGAACACAGCAGATGCCTCTAGAATGAACTTATGAATACAAAGTCAGGGACCTCTACACACACAGTCCCATGTCATAAGGACTTTATGGACACTGCTGTGCTTATGGTTTCTGTTACACAATGTCAACCAGCAAAGTCACACCATGATCATCTTTTCAAACAGGCAACCTTGCAGATAGTGACACACTGATCACAGATGGGCCATCTAGTATCACACCAAGCCACATGCACACTTCCACAATCTGTCATCTTCCTCTGGAGAGCTAGAAAGCTACAGAATCAGACGCACAGTCACCCGGGTCACACCCAGGACACACTGACACACTCAGGTGCTGTAAGCCAGGTGTTCCCACAATCTCACAGTGGTTCTACATACAGTCGTGTTGTAACATAAGTGGTCCCACAGGCAGATGTGGGGACACTCACACCCTGTCACACAGTCACATTCTCATGGACCTGTCCCTGAGTGCAGAGGCCTCAGAGAGATTACACAGCTCCCAAGGAATGGTCACGGTTGGGTATGAGGAAGGGGGTGTGGTGATGAGGTGTAGGGCTACAGGGAGGGAAGTGAGGCACCTCGGCAGGCTTGCAACATGGCAGGCCTACGAGTCAGTGGTATGATCTAGGTATGGAAGGAGGGGGACAGAGGATAAAGATGAGTCACAGACACAGAACTTACCTGTGTGGGGTATAGGGGTCACAGGGATAAGAAAGGGTCAGATGGCTGGGCAGGGAGCAGAGAAGGCAACCGCTGCCTGGATACAGACTAGCAGGACACTTACCTGTCCCTTTCTTGGGGTTCAGACTCAAGAGCCCAGCCTGGAGTCCAATAAAGGACTCAGCAGACCTGACCACCCACCTGCTCAAAGGGGAAGGGTATATGTCTGTGTGTGTCCCAGCCCAGATATGACAGATGTGTCCCAGCCCAGATGTGACAGGTGTGGCCTAAGCAGGCACTTACTGGACTGTGCTGTACGGGCCTCTATGGTGGGAGTGAAGACTCCCACCCCCAGATCTGAGCGGGCAGCCAGCTGGAAGTGGTACACTGTGTCAGGCTTCAGGTCCTCCAGCGTGTAGGAAGAGGTGGGGTCGAAGGTCACCTTGTGCTGGAAGAGTAGAGAGCACTTACTGACTGCCCAGATCTCAAAGGCCACTCAGAGGTCATTCCCTGCAAGCAGCTGGCAGAGGATTCACTATGGTTCTGTGACAGGCCCCACCCCACCCAGTCACACAAGCCTCACAAGAAATGCACCGCTTGACTCATACCACAGCCACCGCAAAGATCACAAAGACTAGCAGGAATCTATGGCCCCTGGGGAAACATCAGGGCTAGGACAATAGCACATAGGCCACAAACTCAAGAGACCAAAGGCAGATCCTAGAAACGTTGCCTCCAGCACAGGAGTGGTGCGGACTTCAGAAGCACACAGGCTGTAAGAGCCACGAAGGTGAGGGAGAGACCCAGGAGCTGTACCCTGTCTAGATGTGCCCGTCACAGACCACGAGGAACTGGAGGACAGCCTCCTTCCACCCTTCCCAGCCTCATGGCTCACCTGCTGGCCTTCATCCTCTGCTGCCCAGTACACTAGTTCATACTTGGTGATCCGCTCCTGCGGGGGCAGCAGCCATGAGAGCTGGATCCTGGTGTCTGACTCAGCTTCTGCCTGGAAGTCTGCAGGCTGTGCAGGCACTGCAATGCCCACCCCAGGCACCGTCAGCTTCATGACATCCCCAAGGGCCCAGTGAGAGGGTGTCAAGCTCTCACTTCCCTGTCCTGAATCCCCCGTGCCCACACATCTGTAGAGTATGGTACCCTTGCCCTCCCCAAGCTACAAATTTCATAGCCCGAAGAAACAGGAATGACCCTTCCCAAGCCTTTGCTGTCAGCTGTCTAGCCAGAACGAACACCCTCACCTACCTCCCTGCTGTGTCTTGACCTGGATGGTAGGGCTGGGCGGACCATCGCCCACAGCGGTGAAGGCAAGGACACGAAGGCTGTAGGTGATGCCAGGTAGCAGGCTGCCCACAGTGGTAAGGAGTCCTGCATCTGTGTTGTGCTTGTGCCAGGCGCTCAAGGGGCGCCGAGAGTCTGGAGTGTAATAGACACGGTATCCCCGTACCAGGCCATTGGGCTCTTCAGGGGGCTCCCACTGCACCAGCATGGTGCTGGCGCTCAGCATTCGGGCCTGCACACGGCGTGGAGGGCTGGAGGGTGCCTGTTCACCCGTGCGTGCACGAACCGCTTCACTGGGTGGTCCTCGTCCGATGCTGTTAACAGCCAACACACGAAAGGCGTATTCTGAGAAAGGGCTCAGGCCACCAATGCTGTATCGGGTGGTAGCCACACCATCCACCTCCTGGAAGGGGCCGTCTGTGCCAGCTGCACGGTACTGGATACCATAGTAAGACACAGGCTCTGCATTTCCAGAGTCCCATGTCAGGGTAACACTGGTGGCGGTTGTCTCTGTCACCACTAGATCAATCGGAGGCTTTGGGAGAGCTGAGGAGAAAAAGTTGTTGGAGTTTATAACTCTGAGAACAGATCCAAGGCATCATCCAAACACAGCGTATAGCCACCTGTGTGATTGACACCCATAATCCACCTTGAAAAGGGGCTTGAAAAGCTTATGGTAACTGCTTTTTTTTTTTTTTTTTTTTTTTTTTTTTTTGGTTTTTTGAGACAGGGGTTTTTCCATGTAACAGCTATCCTGGAACTCACTCTGTAGGTACTCATAGAGATCTGCCTGCCTCTGCCTCTTGGGTGCTGGGAACAAAGATGTGTGCCACCACTGCCCGGCACTTATGGTAACTTCTAGGGGCAGCTACTTGAGACACTGCAGCCAAGTCTGTTGGTCCCAGGAGCCTTGAGCACTTTAGTATGTAGCACACTGCTCTTGGGACACTCCCTATACATATCAGCACATGTGATTCACCTAACAAACAGAAATGGTCCTATGAAGTCCCACATAGTTCACACGCCAAGACTAGGCAGAGACCTGCTTGCTGCTCACCTACACTCACCTGTACCAAGTATATGTAGCGCTCTCTCTCTCTCTCTCTGTGTGTGTGTGTGTGTGTGTGTGTGTGTGTGTGTGTGTGTGTGTGTGTATTATCTCCCAAGGAATTAACCTTAAGAGTTCAGAAAGCGCCGCAAAGCTGTTAGCCCCAGGAGACCCCAACGACTTGGCTCAAAGTGAAGGTGGCAAAATCGAAGGCCATGATTGCTCCATGAAGAATGACCACTAAGTACCAGGTACCACTTTGGTGACACACTGCCTCGTGGCCACATCCCTGTACTCTGGAATTTATACTCTGGGGAAATAATCAGCAAATGAGCTCATGGTAATTGTGTACAAGGACAGCAGGAAAAAAACAAAACAAAACAAAAACAACAACAACAAAAAAACCCACAGCCTCTCCTCCCATGGGGTGAACAGGACAAGTATCATAGTGCTGAAGCCTGAAGGGAGAGGACGAGCCACTGACTATTACAGTGGACAGGGAGCAGGCAAGGGGACTAGAACAGCGTGTGTACTCAGGGTGAGAGGCCAGCTGGGACCCTGGGGGACTCCCAAAGCAAAGCCAGCCCCTGAAAACTACTTTTGCTTTCATAGAAGGAAACAGCATAAAGTCATCAGTGTAGCTCCCAGCAGGGTGCTTGTTTAGCTTGTGTGAGCTCTTGGGTTCCATCCCAAGGAATCCAGGACCCAAGTAGAATCAGGTGGAGTGACAAGACCCTGGCTGACACACTTTTCTTTTTTTTTTTTTTTTACAGTACTAGGGATTCAATCCAAGGCTTCGTACATGGTAAAGGCTCTACCAACTGAGCTGTATCCCCAGTCTTAGTCTGTATCTTAAAAGACCACCCAAGTTAAGGGCATTGGTGCACACCTTTAATTCCAGCACTCGGGAGGCAGAAGCAGGAGGAGTTCTGTGAGTTCAAGGCTGACGTGGTCTACAATAGTAAGTTCTTCAGAATGACAGAATTATCTCCAACCCCAACACCCACCCTCAGGGGAAAAAGAAAAAATGGGTCAAAGCCAGACAAGAATAGAAGCAGGGAGACCATGGCAGAGTCTGCCACATAAATACTAAATATATGGTGGGCATGGTGGGGCAAGCCTTTAATCACAGCACTCTGAAGGCAGAGGTAGGTGGATCACTAGTTTGAGGCCAGCATGGTCTACATAGTGAACTCCAGCAGCCAGAGCTACACAACGAGACACTTTCTCAAATAAATAGATAGATGATGGACAGACAGACAACACTAGATATATGTTAGGCTGGAGAGATGGCTCAGTGATCAATAAAATAATTTGCTGTTTTTGTAGAGGGCCAAGATTCAATTCCTAGCACCCACATGGTAGTTCACAATTAGCACGAGTTCTGATAGGTCTAAATAAAACCAGGAGTCAGATATCTTGGTAAATGCTGAAAGGTCAGAGAAGTAAAGAAGCCAGCCACAAGAGAGACCTTTTGCCTCTACTGAATCCTCAGACCAAAGAGGCAATCCTGTCCCTACAAATCCTCAGACTGAATGCAATGAGCTCCCATCTCCTCCCACCTTATTCCTCTCTTCACCCAGCTACATCACTCCTGTCTCCAACTCCCTAGTGCTGGGATTAAAGGCGTATGACTTCCAAATTAAAGGTGTGAGCCACCATTCCTGGCACTGGTTCTCTTTTAGACTGAATCAATCTTGTGTAGCCAGGGTGGCCTTGAACTCACAGTGATCCGCCTGTCTTTGCCTCCTGAGTGCTGGGATTAAGGGTGTGTGCCACTGCTGCCTGGCCTCTGTAGCTAACTAGTGTGGCTAGCTTAGCACTCTGATCATGAACAAAATTATCACTACACAACCATCCACAAACCCCATTTCCAGATGATCTAATGTTCTCTTCTGGCCTTCATGGGCACCAAGTACAAATATACACAAATGCAGGCAAAATAATCCTTAAAAATTAGTTTTTCAAAATTATTAATGTAGTATGTGCCTGTCCCCAGAGGCCTGGGCAGAGAAACCCTCACCCCACCTTAGCAACCAATACACCCTTCTCACTGGGAGGGAGGCTGTTCAATCCAGGGGTTGCTGCTAAGTAGTGGTTGCAGGCTGTGAGTTCAGACCACAAGGCTAAGTCCCAGCTTTGTCATTTGCTCACTTGTAACACAGGGCTAACAAGAGCATCTGACCCACATCCGCCCTAAAAAGCAGTATCAACTTTTACAGGCCTGATGCCTGCCAACTGGGAATACCAGCTACTCCCAGTATCTTCTTTCTATCTGAGGGCCTGCCCAGAACTAGGCACACCTTAAAAGAGGCGATCCTTCAGCCCTCCTGTGCCAGCTCCTGCTCACCTGCCACTAAAGCCCCCAGAGGCAGAAGAGGACATCAGCTGGTACCCGGTACACTTACCTTTTACTGTGACCTGGGCTGTGGCCTCTATCATGCCTAATGAAGAAATGGCCACGCAGGTATAGTTGGCAGATCGCATGACATTGCTGAGCTCCAGCACATTGCGGCCAACTGGCATCTCGTCCTCTTTGGTAAGCTCTTCAGCACCCATCATCCACTTTACATACGGCATGGGTGCACCCACCGCCACACACGTCAGATTCACACTGCCGCCTGGCATCACCTCCTGGCTGCTGGGAGGGATGGAGAAACGAGGAGCCACGCGACGCACTGTGGGAGGAGGGAGAGAAGCACTCACAGGCTGGGCAGGACACAAGGGTGGCCCGAAGGGCAGGGGCCCCTCGCCAAGAAGACTCTCCTGTCAGAGCCAAGCCCATGCTCAGAGACAGGAGGAGTGGTGTCCCTGGGGCCTGGCTCACATTTCCCACCCCACTTTGGGGCACTCAGGGACCATCTGGAACACCTCTTAGTGACAACTTGCAACCAAGCTTCCATCTTACCGCCTGGGACACTCAGCCAAGGTCACACAGGACTTAGCGCAAGAGCCAGGCCTGGTTAGAGCCAGAGTCCAGGTGGTCTTGCAGTGACCACCCTTGCTTTCTCCTGACTCCCCTCCTCCTGTGTCTCCCGAGGGACCAGATGGGGCACCAATGAAAGAAATCCAGGTCCTTAGAGCATGGCTGGGGCAGGGCAAAGACTCATCTGGGAGTAACATGGCCACCTTTTCTGGAGTCGAGGTCTTCACCTCCAGGCCATGGCCCCAGGAGAGAAGAGGAAATGGCATAACCACCTGCTGGGCCTTGGCTGTGCTTAAGGTCAGCCTGGGACCCACAATGTGGACTGCCACTTAGGAGGGCTAGGAGAGGAAACAAGGGGTTGGGCGGGCCAGGGACGTGGTCTGCGGGCAGGATGGGCATGATGATGGCAGTAACATGATGAGGGTGCCGAACAGACGGCCTGCTGTGCCAGTGAGCAAACGTCTCAAGGAGGAGGGGGCTGTGCCTGGCCACGACCCCCAGCCTTGGACTCCCCTGGCCAGAAGCTGTCCTGAGCTTCTCAGTCCAGGGCACTGCCTGGAACCAACCCCTCAAGGTACAAGCTTGGCACAGACATTCAGAGCATGCAGAGGGGTAAGGTGGACAAGACCTAGCCACACACAGGCATGCTTGGCATGCAGACAGGCCATGCAGCTGCTGGCAGAGGCTCCTATGTATCCTACATAGTCTCTGTGAACAAGGGGCCAGAGAGGACAGGCAGCAAGCCTAAGTGACCCCAAGGGCACAGTATGAGAGCACTGGTCTCTGAGGACTCTTGTCGGGGAGCCCAGACATGCAGAGGACCCGTGGTACCACATACAAAGCATCTCACACAGCCCCAGATCACAGAAGCAGAGCTAGAAGCACTGGAAAAGACCACCAGGTCCAACCTCACCTCAATTCACAGTGGTCAAAGTGAAGCTCAGAGCGGAGACATTTAGTAAAAATCACCAGGTTGTACTAAGGTTCTGCCTAAGACATCTTTCAAAATCAATTTCCCTTCAAACACATAGGTAAATGCCACTACTAACACCTAAACCACCACTGTTGCTGCTGGCTCCCTCGTCTCACGGCCTTCTGCCTCTCACTGCGCTCCACCCCCATGCTGCCACAGACAGTGGGCATTCCCCTGATTAACAAGTTCCTGCATGGTTTCTGATGCTCCGTGGCCAGCCTCTAAGGCCTTGTGTAGCGTCTGCTTCCACACCTCTGCAGCTGTTTCACTAAGTCCTACAGGTGGAACCACAACACTGGCAGCCCCAAGTGAGTCACAGCAAACAGCTCGCAGACCGTGAATATCCAGACTCACATCAGACACTCCTTAGGAGTGTGTTGTAGACATACAGAGCTCTGCCTTTGTCCAGAAGCAGCGCCCTCATTCTTTCCTCCCCCCACCCCTTTCTAAACAGTGCTAGGGATTGAACTCAGGGACTCACACATGCTAGGTTTTGTACTCTACCACTGAGTAACTCTTTGAATTCCATGTCCACTTTCTCTAGGGGAGCCCTCCCCCTCCCTCCCCATCTCCATTCTTGGCACATGGAGTGTGTGATCCAGATCTGGCTAACGAGAAACAACCTTTGGACCAGAAACAACCTTTGGATGTTTGCACAACCGGTGGGAGCAGTAACACAGTCTACAGGGGCAGCTGAGCTCAGGCTGGAACCTTTCCCAGCGCATGGGAGGACCTGTTCCAGTGTTCCAGTACAGAGATAAGAACAGTGGAGTAACAGTGAGAGGTAATGGCAAACAATGGCCTCACCATACTGTATAGCAGCCTGGCTCCAGCCCTGCCCAACATCTAATCTACTTCTATACTTCCAAGTTTTGTAACCTAAGGGACTCTTTGCTTTGCTTATATTAGTTCATTTTGCTTGGATTTGCTTATATAGATGGGTTTCTATCATCAGGCTCTTCAAACTATTTTTTTTTTTTTTTGGTTTCTGGGACAGAATTTCTCTGTGCAGCTCTGGCTGTCGTGGGACTCTACCTGTCCTCAAATTCAGAGATAAGCCTGCTTCTGCTCCAGAATGCTGGGATTAATGGTGTGTGCCACCACTGCCCCACAAAAAAACTTTTTATTTATTTAGATTTTTTTATTATTATTTTGTGTATATGAATGAGGTGGTGAGCTTCCACGTGGATACTGGGAATTGAACCTGGGTCCTTTGCAAAAACAAGTGCTCTTAACCACCGAGCCAACTCTCCAGCCCTAAACATTTTTATTTATTTTTAATTTATAAGTTCAACCCCTAATACAGTACTGCAAGTATTTATGTACCACATGTATGCCGAAGCCCTCAGAGGCCAGAAGAGAGTGTTGGAACCTCTACAACCACAGTTACAGATGGTTGCAAGCTGCCTTGTGGGTGCTGGGAACTGAACCTGGACCTCTTCAAGAACAAGTGTTCTTAACCCCCAAGACATTTCTCCAGCTTCCTTTATCATGTGTCTTAATGTCAGGAAGCCATATGGCTAATGACAAGGTATCATAGACACAGCAGTTCTTATGGCAAGGAACACATGTGCCCTAGGGGCATGGCTGTCAAGTGTCCCACAGCAACAGACTGCCCCTGCAAGAACTCTCAACGGCTCAAGATGAGGCACAGACATGTTTTGCCAGCCTGTGCACTCCCTGGGTTTCAGAACAGGTCCATATAGGCGGATCTCTGTGAGTTTAAGACCAACCTTGTTTCAGGACAGGCTCCAAAGCCACAGAGAAACCCTGTCTCAAAAAAACCAACCAACTAACTAAATAAACAAACTAATAAATAAATAAGATCCACCTGCCTCTGCCTTCTGAATCTTGAGATTAAAGGCATGCACCACCATGCCCAGTGGGAAGTATAGAGTTCCAATGCCATCACGTTTCAATCGCAGACGGGAAGAGTCAACACTGACATGGGAAATGCATGTCTGCCTTTACATGAACAGTAAGGTTAGGCCTCTGTGGTAAAAGTTCACATCTTTGAAAGTCATGGTTGACAGAGCCATAGGAGACTCCAGGAGGCTTTGGGAAAAGCTTTAGGGCTTGGGAAGGCCGGCATAAAAGGGAGATCTAGACGGCACACCGGTGGGACTTCGTCCTGGTGGCAGTATTGTCAGACCCTGCAGAGACCTCATGGATCAGCTTCAAAAGCCAGGGCAGTACCCTGGCCACCCCTTTGAAAGCCTCTAACTCTAGCCACCATCAGAAGATCGAGGCCCTGAGGAAACTCATCCTAGGAATTGTTTTTATTTTCCTCCAAGATGCAGGTGACAGGGAGAACTCTGGGGGCTACAGAGAAGTGTGAGGTCAGGGTTATCCCCAGCACCAGGAAAGGGAGGCAACCAGAGGTCCCAGGTGTACCACTGATGACTTCACTAACACTAGGTTCCAGTCTGAGTCCTGGAAGGCAGTTTCCTAGTGCACATGCGGGTCAGCACATCTGCAGAGAACAATGTGGGGTTAGGGGCAAGGGAGTATCTTGAATACTAACGGGGCTTGTGCTCTGACCTGCCTCAACAGCTACCCCCATGCCAACAGCTGGGAGTGACTGAGGCCGCAGCCCAGCATCTCCACCATCCGCCCCCTGATGCCAGAAACGCAAGGCCTCCAAGGGGAATGGGACTCACCCTGGACTCGGTCTATTGACAGAAGCAACAGCGGGGAAGGAGAAACTGGAGCTGGGAAAAATGCTCTTAGGGTCTACTCTCAGGCTCCAACAATGCCGGTCTATTACCGTTCTCCGTGCATCCTTAGTGCTGACATTTTATAGACAATTTCCAAAACAGGGCCCTGCCATTTCTGGATTATATTTCAGCTGTAACTTTTAAGTCTAATTATTTGCGCTGACAACCCCCTATAATAAGGCGGTGCGGCGCCCAGAGGCATCAGCATTCAGTGGAGTGACAGCCTAATCGCAGGGGGAGGCAGCCCCGCAATCTGCATTCACTTGCGGAAATTTCTCTGATGAAAATAACACAACATTAAGGAGGGGATAAGGGGCAGGATCCACTGTATCAAGATAAAATAACTCTTTAATAAATAACCTTGTGGCTGCCGCAGAGCAGTAATTAAATGCTGGCACACCCGGCACACAGTTTTAAGTAAAGCTAGAAAAATGTAAGATGCAATTATCAGCACCAAACAAATTACCAGCCCGGCAAATCCCCCCGGAATATTTAGAAACTCATTTCTCCTTCCTGTTAAATATTTGTGTATGTGCTTATTTTTGGTGGGACCACAGGGTGGGTGGAGGAAGGGACAAAGGACGCAGAGGGTAGGTGAAGGGGTGTGTGGGGAGCGGCTGCGGACCGGGCTGTCTGCTGACTATTTTCTGAACGCCCTGGCAGATCCGCCCGGTCAGCGAAATGGCGTTAACTGAAATGCCCCAGAGCTCTGGAGTGCATATGGATGGAGGCTTATGCTGATATCCGAGCCCAGGCTGCCCTCCTCCTGACTGGCTCCCCTTGTCCTCCTGGAGTAAACTCAAAACCACAGATCAAGATGCAGAGGGCACCCTGGTAGCTTGAGTCTGTTCTATGCTTCTTTCTTGGACACGCAAAGCCCAGTGAACAGGAGAGCTACTCTGACACTTTAGATCACAGGATATGTAAAACATCACTAGCCCCTTGCTGGCCCAGGCCTGAGGAGTAGAGACCTGGCTCCAAGGGGACTGCTCTGGGCGGGGATCCAGGGAGTTTCTAGAAGCCCTGCCCAACCTACAGCTGAGCTGGACTGCTGCTCAAGGACCCAGCAAATTTCAGTTGACAATTCAGTCACACTAGGAATAAGCAACCTGGACCTCAATGTCCAGTGCCACTGCCCAACACGGGGCTGAGGGCTGCTAGCCGGCTAGCAAGCCACAAACACTATTCTCAGAGAGGAACAGAGGCCGGCTGGAAAGCTCGGGCAGAGAGGTCTGGGCAGGCGAGATGACCCTGGTTTGGACCTGGCAGGAGACAGAAAAGATGGCAGTGATGGGACACTTGCTCAGTGTGCCAAAGTGATGTCACTTGCCTTGTATCACAGCCACCACTGTCTTTGTGAGGTAGACCAAGGCGGATCTTACGTCTCAAACAGCCAGTCTGATTCATGGAGCACTGGTAAGGCTCTGGGGGCCTCAAGGACAGGGCAGACACTGCAGGACTATGTTGTATACTGCAAGATCTCAAGAGACAACTCACTCTAAATTAGCTTCTTCCTATTGTCTCCTGTAGTTCTGGCTTCTCTTAGGCAACCACGGCCTACATGCGAGATGGTAGAAGCTTCTCCAACCCTCTATACATGTCAAGCACTTCAGCCCTTATAGTCTCTCTGACCACAGCTCCCCACAATCATTCTTGAACTCTACCTGGAACAGACAGCTGGCCTGGCCTGGGTGCAAAGGTGGGGTGCAGCTTTGTGCCATGCACCGTGCATGCGTGGCCACTGTAGCAGCAGAGCCTGGCTAAGGGGACATGCAGACACATTGTGCATCAGGGACTCAAGCAGCAGGAGCATGCAGGGCAGAAGGCCTGCCCACCCATCCCTGGTCCTGCCTGCCAGCCAGCCCAAACAGAGATGAGCAGAGGCCAACTGGCGGGCAGGCACGGCTGGAGCGAGCCTGAGGGAGTTGACCAAGCCCGCTGGTCCCAACTGACGGGCACAGTCGGTGGGCGAACTGTAGATGGATAAGAAGTGAAAAAGACCAACCTTCTCGCTGATCTGAGAGATGAGAGTTTGGGTTGATGGCAGAGTGCGATGAGGATGAGGAGGGAATAAAAAAAAGACAAGGAGAAACACAGAGAGAGTAAAAACAGGCCAACCTTCATCTGCCCACACAGCACAGAGACAAGACAAGACTCCTGTGCCCCTCGCACACACACGTGCACACAGGTGCACACGGACCACGCCGCTCACAAAAGACTCAGGACTCATGGAGGGACACGGTGGACAGGGTTAGGGCCCACCAGCAGATGCCAGGGACGCTGAGGGCAGAGCTGGTAGGGGGAGACGTGGGGCATGGGCCAGTCCCATACCTCACACACCCTCACAGCTCAGACAGAACTGGAAAAGTGGACTCTGAGGTCAGGGCCCACCCAGCTCACAAACCCACCAAGGCACACAAGCCACTACAGCCCCACCACCGTGAGGAAGCCCCATGCTACACAACACCAGTGTGAGGAGCGCGTCTGGATGCCTGTGGGAAGAAAGACTGGGCGGTAACACTCTCGTTTCAGACAGCAGTGGCTCAGGTGCCAGGTTCCTGAACAGAATGAGGAGGATGGCAGTCCTGGTACAGGTAGGCCAGGCTTTGCCAAGGGCAGGGTTCTGCCTCGGCCCAGGAAGCTGTATGCCTGAGAGCTGAAGGGGAGACAGGCCGTGGATGGAAGGAGAAAATGAGTCACTCAGGGAGAGAGTCAGATGGTGAAGGAGAAAGAGGCTGGTCCACCCAGCGTGCCTGGGCCTGCTAGACTGTGGGTGGAACTGCAGGCAACTGTGAACAAAGTCAGTTGTAAATGCATGATGTGTGTCTCCCAGTGTTATCCCAACAGAAACCCAGGCAGCCGACTCATGTGTTTCCTGTGCGCCCGGCAGCATGCTGGGAGCTTTAGATGCACTGCCCTTTGGTGGTAGCAGCCCTAGGGCCTCAGAGATGCAGGGAGCGCCCTGACAGTTTGGGGGACAGAGGGAGTATGTGGGGAGACTAAGTCTGAGAAGATGAGTCAATAGATACAGAAGAGTAAAGTTAGAGATGGAGTCAGAAGCCCTTTGGAGCCAGTAATCCTGAGCAGAGGGTCTCCACAGAGACAAACTGCCTCTGGGTACGAGCATCTGAAGAGTTGGGGCTATTTAGGCTCGTTTGACTAAGAGGCACTACTGGTACCTGGCTGGTTTGGGATGCTTCTAAAACATCCTACTGTGCAAAGAATAGCCCTCAACAGAGAAGTATCTAGTCTAAAAAGCCAACAGTGCTAAAGTTAAGAAACCCCTGAGCTATAATCCACACTGGCCCAAATCAGGAGGCCCAGACCCTGACAAACGTGGAGACTTCTATCTCCGGGTGGTAACAGGGGCCACTATGGAAGGAAGGAAGTCTTGAAGCCTCTATGTTGGGAGACAAGAGGCCAACAGATAGGCACTGGGGTGGGGCGGAGTTCTTCTATGCCTATCCACCCACAGGCAGAGTTTCAAATATAGAGCTGGTGGCTAGCATGTCACAGGTTGTCCCAGAGCATTCTTTGGGGGCAGATAAGGCTTTGCTAGGCATAAAAAGAAAACTGGAACCACCATGAGGCAAGGGCCCGAAGGAGCAGGGTTTTTATGTACATAAATACTAAAGGGCTGGCCTGGATTTAGGAAGGTTCTAGCTATGAGGCAGGGCAGGGGTGGGGGTGGCAGGGGGAGGCAGTAAAAGCCTGGTTGGCTGTGTTAGATTCTAGACAGGAAGGGCCAAGGGTAAAGGAACCCCTATATTCCCCCACCTCCCAAAGTTCTTTCAAGTGGAGTTTATCCCAGGAGATGGGATAAGGCAAGATCTAGCTACGGTCATGTCCAAGTCAATTACGTGTGGACGTGAGGACTCTGGAGGTAGGGATGCTCCAAGGATTTAGGATCTCAGTGCTCTAGAGGCCACTCCGCCCAATTCCAGAGATAATCATCACCTGCCACTGGGGCCACAGCCAGCCCGGCAGTGCTAGCTGAATGGATGTGGTGTCTAGCTAAGGTGCCCAAGTCATTCTTTTTGAGTCCAGGTGGCCTTTTCCTGCTTTGGTACTGCCTCTGGCCGCTCTATCCTAGGAAATGGCCGTAAAACAATGCATGACACCTGGCCTAAGGCTCTGCCTAGGGTCTCTGCTCTTTGGTGTAGTTGCCACATGCAGATAAGGGCTGCCTCAGTGAAGCCAGGGACTGCACACGCTGTGGCTGACGAGGGAGGAGGTTGGCCATTGTGAAGAGTCATTTCAGTTGCTAACCTCCCAGAGGGACGTGCCAGACTCCTGTGGCTTTGTTAGATATTTAGCCTGGGATGAAGGCTTCTTATATCACTCCTCTCTCAGCCTTCAGGAAGTGTTTGGGGCCCTGGCCTCTGTCTTGATGGTATCCCTAAAAACAGAACTGGTTTACAGGACACCTAACAAAACAGTGACAGGGGCTTCCCAACTCCCAAGAAGGATGACAATTAGATTAAAACAAAGAGTTCCTCCGTCTACACTGGTCACTGGCTGACACCTGTGACCTCTCTAGAACCAACGTATACCCTGGGAGCATGGCAGTCCCTCAGGAAGTAGCTAGCAGCTTGTTTCTCTCTGCCTTGAGTAAGCAAGTCTACAAGTCTACTAAACTGCTCTGAGAGTAAGGTGGGTCAGGGCCACCACTTAAACTCCATGAGCTAGAGGAAGGGCAGACCATCCTCAAAAAGATGAGGGACAGAATCATTGCTACAGGGAAGCTGGGTCTCCCCAGTGAGCCCCAAAGAGGAGCAATTTAATTTTTGATGCTACCCATTTGTGAAGGAGGATTAGATGAAGGGGCAGTGTGGGCAGAGGGCTTCCATGGCCTTGCCCAGGTACCATGTTCTCTAGACTATCTCCAAGAGAGCCAAGGCTGTCAGCTTCGATCCCCTTGGGCTATGAACAGGGATGGGCATACCACAACTGCCCCAGACCCTTCAGCTGTAGACCCACAATACATAGCACACAGTCCGTTTAGCCCCAACTAGGACTGTCCAAGGGATATACCCACAGGTTTTCACAGCTACCTCACCTTACCCCAACATGAGGGGTGGGGCTGGTGACAGACCACAGCAGGCTCCTCCAGGGAGGCCACCTGGTCCATTACTGAGGCCTGCGAGATCCAAAGTCCAGAACCAAGAACCTGGAGCCCACCCTGCTGGGAGTAGGCAGGAAAGTCAGGTCAGGCATGTATATTCACATGCAAATACATGTGTCTATAACCCCCCCCAAGGGAAAACACACACACACACACACACACACACACACACACACACACACACACACACAGAGCCATGTCTGCTTGGAAGGCTCCAGACTCCCATAGGGCTCCAGGCCCAGGCAGAAAGGACCTACAAGAGATACAAATGCTCCCCAGAGGTGGGGGTGGGTGTCTTCTTCCCCAGGGGCCTGAAGAGAAAGAAGGCAAGTAGCAGCAGCTGCTAGTAGACGGCCCAGTGGGAGCCACAGAGGTGGTGGCTGCTGGCTGAAGAAAGAGGTGGGAACGGGAGGCTGGCTTGTGGAGTCCCTCCAGCGTCTGCACCAAGGTCTCCAGGCAGCACGCCTGGCAGCTGCCATTGGGCTCCACGGTGACAGAGCCAGGTGTGGCCAAGTTCTTACCTCGCACATACAGGTTCGCAGGGGCTGAGTAGCGTGTGCCTGCTGAGTTGGTTGCCACACACTCGTACTTGCCTTGGTCAGACTCCTCGCTGCTCTCAATCTGCAAGGCACCTGTGGGGACAAAAGAGAAGAGGTCAGTCATGGTCCACATCGAGTGTGGCCTGGAACGTGGAGGCCCCGACAACATGTATGGCCCTGCTGCTGTGGCTTACCTGGACCATAGCCTAGAGCCTGTGTGGCTTCCAGGAAGCCCTTTCTGATAAGCCATGTCTCTCTAAGCAAGAATCAAGAACTTGTACTTTGCAACAAGATGTCCTTACTGTGGGCCAGTCCCTGAGGAGCTGCCCACAGAGTGCCCACCACTGTCCCAAGAGTCCTAAGGCCTGTTCACCAATATTCATGCCTATCGGTTAGTTCTCCCGTCCCAAAGCCTATAAACCCATAGGCCTAGAAATTCCTAAACAGGCGATGCCCTTGTCTGCAAGAGCCTGAGGGAGACACTCCTACTTGGAAGGGGCTTGCCTTGGGGCTTAGTGCCCAGCAGCCTCTGCCCCACACTCCCACCATCTCCTCCCATTCTACCCCCACCCTGCTAGCCCCACCCATTCCGGCTACTTTCCTCAGTTTGGTCCAGCTAAAGTGCTTCGACCCACCAAGGCTTCTGCATAATTCAGAAGGCTAATGGAGACTATAGCTCCCACTTGGGCCAGCGCCTTAAGGGGTTGCTCTGGCCACAGACGGACAGACAGGAGCCAAGGCTGGGGGTGCGGGTAGCTGAAGAGCCCCTTTGCAAGGATGTATGAAACCTGCGTTTGGGACCTGTCCTTTCAGGTCAGGTGAGTGAACCCCAGGGTGAAGAATCCCATGCATTTATCAATCCCCCGGCCCAAGAAATAAACAATTGAAAACTGCTAGTGAAAGCATACTGGGCAAGCTATCTATGACAGAGAAACTCACAGGGCAAAGCACCACGCCCCTCCCTGGAACAATTTGACAGACAATTACACCCACACAGGACAGTCCAACGGACAGCTAATAACCCCCACAGGACACAGTCTGACAGAAAACCACCTCCTGCATGAACAGCTGGAACAGCTCTAAAGGGCTTCTTCCTCCACCCCGACCAACAATCACGCCCACACAGGACAGACAGAACCTGCTAGGCCCCACCTAACTGGACTGGACAGGAACCCCAGAGGGAATTCCAAGCTGTGTTTGCACAGTCCAGGTCTGGGGTTAGACACTATGGGTCCAAGCTACAGCTCCTTCAGAGCCTGCTCTCTGTCTTTCCAGGGCAGCAGAAGGGGCTGTGCACACCAGGAGGCTGAGTGAGGGCTACAGGTAGAGCAGGAGGGGAGAGGGCTGGCCTCTCTCCAAGGCCTTGACCCCAGCCTCCGGACAGGCATCAGAGAGTATCAGAGCACAAGGCAAATGCCCAACAACTGCAGGAAAATTGCTGACTGGCAGCCAATGTGTCATGTTCATGGGATGAATGGACACTGCTACAGCAAACGGCCACTCAAGCGGGTGAGGGTCAGGGCCCGGGCTAGTGGGGGTCATCCAAGGTCAGCTCAACAGAGGTTTGGGGAGACAGGTAGCTGGTGCCACAAGCTGAAGACAGGAAAGAGTGCCTGGTTTGGGGTTACAGACGATGGAAGAAACTCTACTGTGACAAGAGCTGAAGTGTGGTCAGGCGACCTCTGCTAGCTAGCCATGTGGGAAGAGGGAACCTCAATTGTGAAAAAAGCCCCCATTAGACTGGCCCTTACACAAGTCTGTGGGTTAACAACTGATGTAGGAGGGCCTGGCTCACTGTGGGGGTGCAAGTGCGGGGCAGGTGGCCCCGGACTGTATAGAAAAGCAAGCTGAGCAAGCCATGGAGAGCAAGTTGGTTAGCGGCTCTCCTCCCTCAATGACAAACCACAGTCGGGACACACTGGCCAAATAAACCCTTCCTCCCCAAGTCGCCTTTGGTCATGGTGTTTATCACAGCAACAGAAAGCTAACTAGGGCAAGGCCCAATATAGACCCTGAGACTATTTGTGCACAGACATCTTCAAATCTGGTATCGACACTCAGACCCTGTAGTAGGGAAAGCAGGGCCGGCATGTGCAAAGTCGAAAAGCAGAGAGATACAGAAAGGGGAGGAGAGCTGAGTCCTGTCGTCAGGGTGACGAGCAACATCCGATGGGAGGCAAGTACCCCCAGCCCCAACTTCTGTCCTGAGCACTCTTAGCCTTGGGCCAATGTCTAGATGTGCACACAAATATTGACAAATGTGGGGAGAAATGACAGGATAAAAACAGAAACTATCATTCTGTATGTGACAAACTGCCTATATCCCCATTCTCCTCTAAGTCTCACGGCCCTTAGGGTGGGTGGTCCTGGCTCCAGTTTTAAGAGGAGATGTATTTGAGAGATGGTTGAGTCAAACTCAAACCGTGATCTTTTGGAATCTAGAATCTATGCTTTCTCACCAACAGGTTATAGTGTCCTGTTATATAAAGGCAGCTTGAAGGGACTGCAAGCCAACAGGTCAAGTGAGCTAGTTATACGTGGGTCTGTTTATTTTCCTATTGTCATCTAACATATTGGTGAAGAGATATAAAAGATCCTCATTTGACCACATGACCAAGATTTTTAAGATATTAAAAGGAGAGCCAAGTACTAACTGAGGACTTTAAGAAAAAGGTTCTCGGGGCTGGAGAGATGGCTCAGCACTGGCTGCTTTTCCAAAGGACCAGGGTTCAATTCCCACCACCCACATGGCAGTTCACAACTGTCTACAACTCCAGTTTGAGGGGATCCGACACCTTCACACACAGTAGATACAGGCAAAACACCAGTGCACACAAATAAATCTTAAAACAAAAAAAAGAAAGAAAAAGGTTCTCAAGAAAATGGTCAGACTTGGTCATGCTCCCAAACTTATAGGAGGAAGTGTCTCCATCTATACCAGCCTTAGGGACATGGTAGGCTTCACTAGGGGAACCAAATGGATCCCTTTCTGTGGGGCTGGCCTTTCTAGAAGGCCTGGGTAGCAGGGCTTGCCATCCTGGGAGGTCTCAGCTGGTATCTCCACAATGCAGACTTGTAATGGATGAGTCCACAGGAGGGAATGGCTGAGAGTGGATGTGTGTGGTGGCTGGTGGTATTGTGGGGGCTGGAGCTGGAGATGAAGAGACTGGAGAGGTCGGGATGGGTATGGGGAGGTGACGGACTGGACGTGATGGAGTGGAGGTGACCAACGGCGACAGTAGTGGCGTGGTGTGGTGTGGCATGGCGAGATGCACGGACAGCATTCTTACCTCTGATTGGTGAACCACCTGGTGAGGTAATTTGAATGCAAATAAGATCAGAGAGAAACATTAGTACAAAAGGAAGGAAAGCCACAAAAGCCAAATCAGATAAAACAAAACACCATGAAGGGCCTTAGCTATATGGAGAACTCAAGGTATCAGTTTAGGTGACTCAGGTGTTGTGTGAGTAAGCACCAGGCTGGGCCAAGCTGAGTGTGGGTGGAGCATGTCCCCTGGGTCAATAGCACTGCTCTGAGGAAGTGAAGGGCAGCAGGAGGTATCGATAGGAGTCAGGAAGGCTGGACCGGGCTCCTGTGACCCTTGCTGGCTGGGTTGATGGAGGGGAAGGGGAAGAAAAGAGGTGATACCCACCCTAAAGATTACCCAAATTCACTGGGGTAAGAGTTGGAGGAAAGCCCTCACAAAAACAAAACCAGGGCATTTAAGCAGCCAGGGTTAAGGGGAGAGCTCACATAGGTTACCATGGACCAGGGCTCCCCAAACACAGACCAGGCCTGGCATCCAGCAGTAGAGGTGTGGGACTCAGTGACGCTCACGGTCCAGTCAGTGGTTGACAGCCCATAAAGCCCACCTGACCCTATTAAAGACAGAGTGATCGGAGTTCCCCAGCCTATCTGGTGAGAGGCAAAGGGCCAGCACCCCCCCCCTTGGAGTGTCTGGTACTTCAGAGCCCTGGGATCGGCAGCCAAGAGGGACAGGCACTTGCCTCCAAAGCCAGGTTTATTATGAGACCTGAGCAGGTTTGCCTTCCAATACGTGCCTCTCCCGAGATTCTCACTTCAACCACTGGAGCGAGGAACCTGCAGACAGACCCAGGTCCAAGTCTACCCACACACTGGCTCCTTTGGCAGGGTGGGTTGAAGTGTTCAAGGCCACAGATCAGATCCTGTCTCATTGAACCTGGCAACACCCACCTGGAGAAATAGCCATTTCTATGCACAAATGAGGAAACAAGAGGCCTGGAAACATTAAGAGGCTTGGATGTGAGGCAGCAGGACGTGGCCCGTCTAACTCATGGCCTCCCCATGGACATCCTGCAGATATGGAGGCTAGAAGGAAAGGTGGTGACTTGGACAGGACTGCTTGTGACCACACAGGTAAAGTGAGAAGAACCATCATAGCGATTCTCCATGTATAGTCCAGAGGTCTATGGGGGGACCCCGAGAGCCCTTTAGGGGGTCCACCAGAATAAAACCTACAATTAGTTTCTACAGTATTAAGACTGGGGGTGGTGGAGTATGCCTGTAATCTTAGTACTTGGGAGGCTGGGACAGGATGACTGTGGCAAGTTTCAGGACAGGATGAGTACCACAACAGCCAGGACCACACAGTAAAGAGCTGGCTTCGAAAACGAAGAAACAATTATTGGCCTTATTTAGACACTTTCTCTATGAATATACAGTGGCATTTCCTGGAGGACACACAACCTGTAAAACCATAACAGGCTAAATGCAGCCCCATTTAAGTTCTACATTAACAACGAGGTTTTCCTTACTAAATGTTTTGTTTTGTTTTAGAATATATAATTATCTTTTTTTTAATTTTAGAATGTTATTTATGCTAGCACTTAATATTTTTAAATTATTTTAAAATAATCAGTAATACTTAAAATTTTTTCACCTTTAATATCTAGCACAGTAAACATCAGTAAGTATAATCCAGATAAACAGAACCGCCTTAAGGCCCTCTGAATTAAAATTAGCAATATCGAGACCAGAAAGCTGACAACCACTGACCTCCTGTGGCCTAGGTGCGAGCTAGGGCAGGGGTTGTAGTGTACATTACCTAGCACCAGAGGCCTGAGTCTGTGGCTTCCGCTCTTTTTACATACCCTACTGACTTCTTGGAATCGTACTCTGCCTGCCAAACGGAGAACCTGCCCTTTTCATTTCACTAGACAGGTATATGGGACTGAAGGGGTCAAGAATCAGTCTCCCCAGGACAATCATGCCGAAAAGCTCAGAAATTGTAATCACACACTGACTGTGCTTCTGGAAGACCCAGCCAAACGCAGATCAGAGTGGAACAGACGAGCACTTCCTGTCCGAGCTAGGGCCAGCCAGAAGAATGAGAAGTCACAAGCATCTCACCAGAGAGGCCAAAGGCCTCCTCCTGAAGCCACAGCAGTCATCACCACTTGACACCACTGGGTGGTGGGCATGTGTAGAAGGCTTGGCGGCTCTGTGGGTCAGTGAGGGTGTGCTATACAGTGGCACGCTTAGGCTATAAGGAAGCACAGGAAAGCCCTGCTCAGGCCTGGCAGTGCTTATGGGCGAACCCAGCCCTGGATCCCACGGGGAGGGAGGCTGCTGTGGCTATGGTTCTGTCACGGCCACAGTAGGTCACTCTCTCTGCACTAGTCCCTCTTAGGCCTGCCTCAGGTCTCAAGCTCAAGTGGCCCATGAGGACACTGTGGGAACATATCACATTGCTGCAGCAGGAAAAGAGCCCTTCATGCAGAGCTCACACCTAAGCTGGGCACATTGCCAGCCCTTGGTCCCGGGCCACACCATATGCAGATGACTACGGTTCAGGTCAGAGATGCCAGAGAGACCGAGGTCTGGACAGAGGGGCTGAGCTCTAGTATATGTTCTTAGAAGGTACCGAGGTTATCACCCAGGAGAGCTCCTAGACCCTAGTCTCTACTGGTAACCCTCTGACCTGCACAAAGTGAATATGATAATCATGGCCTGTCCTACTTCACAAAGACTCAGTGGTAGTAAAGGGTGAACTGTTGGTGATGTAAAAGCCGCAAGGGTTCTTGTAAATATGCAGTGTCTAGGCGACAGCCCACTCTATGAAGGGATGTCTCCACACGGCTCCATCCCAAGCACTGGAACCCCCGCCCCCACACACACACACTTATCCTTAAGTCTCAGTTTCCTGGTGGCAGGAAAGGTCAAATGAGTAGATATCCTCTTCAGTGGTAAGTCCCAAAGGTCAATAAAATAATTCTTCATTGAGGACTTAGAACTGGCTATGGTGGGGGGGCCAAGCAAATCTGTCCCAGGTCCTTCCACATCCAGCCTAGGTAAGTAGGGCTGGGGACAAACAGTAAAAACTGTAGCTCCTGCAGGAGTAGCCAGAAGCTGGGTACAGTGGAGGAAGCTAAAGCGAGGAGAGGGCCAGGCGGGCAGGGGTGGGTCAGTGTGGTTTTCCCTGCTAGTGGGGAAGTGGCAGGGGCAGGAACAGAGCCTTTACCATAAACCTGGCAGCAAACTATCACTGTCCCCTGAACGCAGCTACTTTGTAATATGAGAAAACTGACAACGAAGTTAATTTAACCGAGGTCAGTGAACTAATAAGGGTGTATGTAGATATGACAGGGTGAGATAAAGCTGGCCATATGGCAGAGTGCCTTGACCAGGAGCACGTATCTGACCACGCAGGCAGGGTCAAGGGTTATAAGCCCAGGGTCCAGCAGAGCATGGCTTTCATAGTCTAGGAGGAGGATGAGTAGACAATGCCAATAGTTGCTAGAGGACACAGTTTTCAGAGTCTGGAGGCAGGGAGAATGATGGTGTCCCAGGATAGCAGCAGAGAGAGAAGAGGGGCCAACTCGGGAGCCACGTGGTGATACATGAAGAGGATATGTGGTTCCTTATTGAACAGTGTTAGGGCTATTTCAGGTTTAGGGATGGGGATCTGCCACTCATGGAGAAAGGGTCAGCAGCAGCAGGGCATGACTGTTTGTAAAGGAAGTCATTGTCCAGGACAGGGGGACATCCGGAGGGCACTCAGTGTGGGCCCTGGAGCTCACAGAGGACGTTTGTGCTGCGCTGACCAGTGGGGATACAGATAAGGAGGTGGTGACTGAAGCTCCAGGAGCAACGGGCTTGCATGCCAGGGGACAGACTATGTCAGACGAGCTGGAGGCTGCTAGGTCTCTGAGCTTGAGGAACCAGTAACTTCATGCGAGGGTAACAGGACATTTCGAGGCAAGTCAAGGGTGGTAAGGCCAAAGGGAAAACAGGAGGGTTTGCACAAGCGGGAGGAAGGGCTGTCAGCCACTGTGAGGACAAGAAGGTCTGAGTAGCATCCAGAGGAGTGATGGGTAGGGGAGGGTGGCATGGGGCCTGGTACACTGGAAGCACTACATAAATAGTTGATGAACAAATGCTGGAGCCACCGGGCCTTCCCAGAACTGCTGTCTGCACAGACAGTCAATGCCATTCCGGGGGAGGAGTCAAGCCTGCAGGGAGGACCGGCTGGCAGCACGGGGAACCTGCCTGGGGCACCCATGAGCAAATTCAGGGGAGACGAGCCATGCCGGCCGCTGTGCTGTGCTGGGCAGCAGCCACAAACGCTGCCGGACCATTTCCTGCCTTGATTATGGCTGTTTTAATTAACTGCACTACAGCTGCCTCCATCTTGTTGAGTTTTAATTAAATTAAATGAGCTAACACTTCGTGGGCTGTCTCAGGCGGCCGTGGCTGGGGCCGGAATCCTGCCCTGCTGGGTGGCTCATCACTCCTTCTTCTCCAAGATGGTGTGGGCCTGATGGGAGATGCTGGGAGGGGCTGGGAGTGGTGGGCGCCTCTGAACCCAGCAGAGCCCCAAAAGAGGCAGTCAGATCCTTCATGATGTTGACATCACAGCTGACGGACAGCAGGAGTCCAAGCTAAAGCTGGGCATACCAACAGTGGCCTACCTTCTCCCAGCCAGCGGGACTTCTGGAGCCAAGTCTGTGAGTCTACCCTGCGTTGCCAGCGGTATAGAATGCAGCCCGGCTGATTCTGAGCCTCCTTTCCCACCTACTCCATTCCCACAAAATCAGAATCAATTTTCTTGGCGGGAGCCTCACGGGCAGATCTATCAATGGGGAGACACCTCCCTCCTGGTCACAGTGGGATCCTTGTTCCCAGGGCTCCAAGGTGGCTCAACTGAGCTATCCATAGGAGACAAGTGGCCCTGGGGGCCAAAGGACAGAGGCAGATCACCCTGGTCTCAGGCTCCTAAGGTCCATTTGATGCCTGACGAATCAAGCATTACTGGCTCCTTCCCCAGAAACCCTTGCTGCCTAGAGAAACAGAGATACAGGCTGGGCTATGGGAAAAGTAGATGAAAATCCAGGGGCAGCTTCCTCAGGCCTGCCGTGCTGGCATGCTATGCGTGCTTGGAGGAGCAAAACTGGCCCAAAGTGTGGCATCTGACAATCCCAGATGAGTCAGGATAGCACTTGCCACCACATCCTCTTCCCTAGGCAAAATTTGGTCCATGACACTGCTCAGTCTGCCGTACACAGTCATCTTTCCAGAACTTAACTGTACTATGCTGGAAAGTGTCTTCCCCAAGGTATCCATGGGCCCTTAACTCTGCCCTCAGCTCACCTGAGCGCAGTTGCTTGATGCGGCCGTTGCTTAAAGTAGGGTCCACAGGAAGGAAGTCTTTGAACCAAGAGATCTCAGGGTCTGGTGTCCCACCAGCTGCGCACAGCATGGTGGCCGTACGAGCCTTCTCCACCACCTTCAGCTGAGGGCCCATGTCAATGGTTGGGAACCCAGACGGCAGTTGGTCCTCTGCAAACAAAGGGTGACATGTGCATTAGGACTGGCCCTGCTCACCCCTGACTTCCAGGTTAGCTGGGACCCACGATACCCTTCTCTTTCCCACCTGACTTCAGAGAATGAGCCCTACCCCTGATGAAGAGTCAAGAGACCTAGGTTCCTTTTGGCAAGGCAGAAGCTGCAGGAGGCCTGCACCACCACATCCCTGCAGGGGAGTTCCCAAGTCTGGGAGGCACAGACCGAAGACATCAGCACTTATCTTTCTAGGTCCTGGGAAGAACAGAGATCAATGCTCTGCTGACTGCAGCAGAGTGCTATATGGACTCTGGGCAGGGGAGGCAGGGGAGATGCAGCTCCCAAAGCATCAACAGCCACAGTCCCACCAGAGGCTCTGCTGGTTCAGCCTCCGCTTCCTTGTCAGCACACGTGACATCCCTCCTTGGCCTGCATCCCTTCAGCTCTGCCGTGTGGCAGAGCCCCAGGTCACTGACCCCCGGCACCTTGCCCTGTTGATGATCTAACTCTAGTCTTCCCTCTGACCATTCTCTACTGCAGCCTTGACCCTCAGCCTTCTTTCTCACTCAAACCTGACCCTGAGAACAATGATAAGACCTAAGGACCATGTCAGACCATGTGCTGGCTAAGAAGACCAAAAAAAAAAAAAAATACCTTTTGCTCTCAACTTTTTCTTTTTCTTTCTTTTTTTTTAACGAGACAGGGTTTCTCTGTATTGTTTTAGAGGCTGTCGTTCCAGCATGGCCTCGAACTCACAGAGATCCGCCTGCCTCTGCCTCCCGAGTGCTGGGATTAAAGGCGTGCGCCACCACCGCCCGGCTTCTCTCAACTTTTTCTAGAGTTGGTGACTCACAGAGGAAATCACTTCTACTCGACCCATTCCCACCTCGCATAGGTTTCCGAAGCAGCCCTCATGGGCCGAGACAAAGCTACCCAAGCCTCACCTCTCAGAAGCACCAAGAACTGGGAAGACAGGCACTGGACCAGTGCAGACCATGGGGGACGCCCATGGCTACCAATCACCTCTAGGGCCTGCTTGTTACTCTCTCTTCCATCTGTCTACTGGGTTTAGGTGTCCACCATGTAGAGATACCTTGAAGACTACATCAGAAAAAGAACATAGGGCTCTGGGGAGTACCTGACACAGAACTTGCACCAGTGACTATTAGAAGTTATACTTAACCAGGCCTGAACCACTGAGGCAGACAGGTACTGAAACTATAGCCTGGGGACCCTTTCCCATTCTAGGCTGGTTAAGAAGTCCTTCTTCCTAGAACAAAACCATCAAGTGTTCTCCAGAACTCGGCAGTCCTTCTGCTCTCCCTAAGCTTGGTTCTAGTCACAGCCAATGAGGGCTCAGGGAATGTTTGCCTTTGTCTGTCTCTTGGCAAACGTTGGGCCTTGCAGTGGGGAAAAGTGGCAAAACTCTGTGCGTCCCTCTCACGTGCTCAACACACAGTTAATGTGTGGGGGCATTTGCTGAGGTCACAGCCTCCCATGCCAGGAAGACTCAGCCTCAGAAGGGAGAAAGGTAAGGGGCAGGTGGCAGCGCCAGCTTTTCCTGCTGATTAGAGACCTAAGGGAGCAACTAGGGGCACAGACTTGAGATGAAGCTAGGAACCACATCAGGCAGAGGAACCCCATTGAAGCAACTTCTTAGAGACATCCTAGAAGGGTGTCTGGCTGGGGCACAGGGGAACTCTCAACTTGGCCCAGCCTTCCCTGCTTGCCCAAGAACTGGCTATACACTTCCTGCTCACAGCCCTACAAATTCTGGATGGCAACACTGAGTCTCCTTGGCTGTAACTATGATCCCACGGTGCCCTGACTCTCAGCTCTGATTCTTGAAAAGGGTTATATTAAACATCAGCAAGAAAACAGAGGGAAGATGGAGGCGTGGGCTGCGGGGCACAGCTTCCTTTGGCCTGCTACCACTTGGAAGAGCAAGACCTGAGGCCTAGGGCACCCTCCCCACCCCTTCCAGCAGCTGGGGGTGCTCAAGACTGCCGGAGCTGTTCACTGACAGGGCACCATGCTTATTCTTCCAGCTCTTACTCCTACCTGCTTGGAGAAATGGGGCGTGGAGTGAGGGGTGGCTAGGTCCTGCCAGAGTCAGGATCTAGCCTCTACTGCCTATCTGTCAGGAGGTACCAGTCAAAAATGAAAGCAGTGCAAATGCTTGCAGCCCCGTGTCCCAAGAATCTCTCTGAATTCTTGACACAGGGAAGGTCTTTGGGACCTATGCCAAATTAAGGACAATTAATTTTCCTCCCTCAATTATCACGCCCTCAAATGGCTTGTCCTTGGCTCAGATCATCCCTCAGGCACCACCGCCAAAGCCTAAAACCAGTGAGTGTAAAGAGCTGTCTACTGAACAGCAGGACCCAAAAGCCAGTCCCCAGTGCCAACTAGGCTCCCAGGCAGTGAAAGGAAGGCTGCTTCTCACCCCTGGGGAGGAAGGGAGGGCAGGGGTGGAGTGGGGGGGGGTGTCTCCGGGACTCCAACTCCAGGCCCTCAGGGCTGACCTGATGCTGTTTCTTCCTCCTCTGGCAAGCAGGAGCCTTAAGCACATTCACACCAGTTAAGGACAACAGATATTTCCCAGATGCCTGTTGAGTGGCTGGTCCCATCTGTGCCAGCATGACTGGCATACCTGCCACCTTCACCCCTCAGTACCACCAGAGCTGTGTCTAGAGTAGTCTGAACCACTCAGGTTAATGACCAAGGCGAATTTCTCAAGAGGATGTCATTCTGTCACTTCCAACCCATCAACAACGGAGAAAACTGAGGCCTCTGGACACTGGGGATAAAAGGTTCCACGCATGAAGCATTCACTCTGTTGCAGGTACTCTCTAAAAGCTTTACAAAATGACAATCTTTACCAAAACCCTATGAGGCACATGAGCAAATGGGGACTTGGCAGAAATCTAGAAACCCGCCCAAGGTCACTCAGTTAAATTGGAGGTGGGGCTTGGAGGAAAGAAGGTGGTAGTCCCCCCCTTCCCTCCCCCAGCTTCAGAGCAAGCGTAAAAAGGTGGGCAGGGCAGGGGAAGGGAGGGGCGTCCCTGGAGGAACCACGCCCTTCCCCCTTTCAACACCTTCAAGTGGCTTCCGGCTCTGGGCTCCACTGCAGACCCCCCATGCACACACGCCCCTGCGTTTTTAAGGTGCTACAAAGCAAAATCCAAAGCTCCCCACATGTGGACACCCCTGGCATGCACCCATGATCCATAGGCGGGATGCACGAGTCATGCTATAGTCCTCCCAAACGCGTCCCGCCAGTACAGGGGCTCCTGGCGCGGGAGGGCCCCTCCCCCCTCCAGGCCACCCGGTAACCATGGCGACGGAGGAGAGGCGGGTGCCACGGTGGAAGGGCTCAGCGCGCGCCTGTGTCCGAGCGGGCACGCGCCTCGTGTCCAAGTCCTACTGGGCGCCGCCCTTCCCGCCCCCGTCTGGGCGGAGCAGCCGCGCCCCCACCCTGGACATTGCTCTTGGGGGGGCGCTCCCCCTTAGGCATTCCAGCTCCACCGACGCAGCGCACCCAGTTCCGGCCTGCCAGGGTCCAGTACAGTGCGAGAGGCTGTAAGTTGCCTCTGCATATACAGTCCGCAGTGTCAGTCAGACCCTCCACTGCGCCTAGGGTCCCCAAAGCAGAAAGAGAAGCCTATTGAGGCTTTGGGGGACTTTAGAGAGGCACCAAGCCTGTAGCCTAAGCCTGGACAGCCTCCATACATAAGTAGCACTATCAATCGGACGTCTGCCCTACCCGCACAGATTTGTGCACCTGGAGCGAGCATCCAAGAGTTCATGAATGGCTCCCGCATCCAACTGTGCTACCCCTTTAGATAATGTACTTGGGAGACCTAACCCCTTCCCTGGAGAGGTCCTGATTGTCTCAGAGATGAGAGGGCATGTGGGAGGGCGTAGCTAAGGGGGTGGGGGGAGCTCGGTTTAGGTCCCTCAGCAGTAGAGCTAAGCAGTGTGGCTCCACCTCTTCATCTGCTATCTTGGTGACTTCCTGGAGGAAGGAGGATCAAGAATGTGCACGGAAGGCAGAGAGCTTTCCCTGCACAGTACCTGGGTAAAGCCTGTGAGGAGGATGGAGGAACAGTAAATATCGAGGTGAGTCTGGTGTATGTATTGGAGTTCTGAGAGATCAGGACAGGGTAGGGGTGGGTGGGGAAGTTTAGACCAACAGACAGGCTGCAAGGACTGGGGGAGGGAGGCTGCAGAAAGGCCCCTAGAGAGCACACACAGGTCTCTTTGTCCAGCTCAGCCTGGGATGCCTGGAGCGGAGTCTGGGCCCAAGGCAGGGGGCTGCACCAGGGAAGCTAACAGATGGAGATGCTTTAGAGGGGAGGGGGGTGACAGTAGGGGCAAGCACCAGCACAGTCTGTCAGTGAGACCTCTTCACCCGTTTCCCCAGCTTCGCGGCATCTCTGAACACAGGCGCTTATGCGCATGCACACACTCAGGCTCCCTAGGGTGGCGCCGTCTGTGCAGCTGACCCCTCCTCTATGCATGAGCATATCACCCTGTCCCTGAACACACAGACACCTTAGAAACATGCACAGCCAGGGACCTAGAGAACTACATGGAGCAAGAGGCAGGTGCAAAAATAGAAACCCACATGTGCGTGTGGAGGGGCATCTGCAGTGACAAGCACCTGTGGAAGTAAGACTGCAAGCAGATTCAGAGGCCGTATGCACAGGCATGGAACACAAATGTGAAGACATGCAAAGGAAGAGATACAAACATGCTAAGACACATGCGTGCACCTGGAGATACAGGCGAAGACCACAACTATGCAGGAACCTCCGTGGGTGGCCAGGCTCCACCTGGCCTTTGGGGTGCTTCAAGGAAGTCCAAGGCCACCTCAATCCTGTCCCCCAAAGCAGCTCCATTCTCAGCAAAGACAGGGTCAAGACAGCAAGCCCTCCCAAACCTGTAAGTTCCCACTCTCAGGGCCAAGCCGAACCCCACCCCCAGGCTCCCAG